AGTTTCTCAATAGCATGCAGCTATCATGCTTGTGGACCAACCCCCCATGAATCAGTAGTGAGATGCTGATCTCTATTCAGTAATTCATGGGATTGCTATAGTGCATTGTTAAAAAGTTGAAAATTTTGTTTCTTTGGTGGAGATTTCTAGAAGCAAAGAAGTGTCGGTCATTGTGGGGTGAAAACAATGGAAAATTTCATGTAACCTAAGACTGGAAATAGTTTGAGATAGAGAAAGAAAAAGAGAGATATTGATTTATGGTGGCATAAGCTTTATATAACAGAGCTTACACAGCTGTAAGTAATCTGGTGTGTTCAGATGTTTTGCAATGGAACCCCCATTAGTCCCAGCCAGTATGGGCAATAGTTAGGAATTATGGGAGATGGATTCCAAAATATCTGGATGGCACCAGGTTGCCTTTTCTGGCTTATGTCATCAGAATCATGAAGTATTATTTTGTGCAGCCCATGGAGTGTGTCACTGTATGTCTGTACATTTTAAAAAAGTGGTAAATGTGTATGTATTCGTTTTAGAACTTCTCAGTGCATCTCATTACAGCTTGGACTGTTGTTAGGGAAATCTTTGTAATCTTTGCCCTTGAGATGGTTACTTTGTGATGGCATCTACATAGTTGTTCTGCAGAGCAGTCCTATCTCTGGATTGCTCAGCTTCCTAGCTATGAGATTGGAAAATTGCTTGCGCCTTGTCAATGGCAATTGGAGCACCAGTTCCCTTTCTTTGCCCTTCTCAGCCATTGTGGGAAAAAATACGTCCACTGAGTCTCCAAGGTCAAAAGAATGGCCTTGAAGACAGGCTTGGAAGCCAGGGAATGGAGGAGACAGGTTCCACAAAGATGTGAGGCATCCTGATGGATGGCTTCTCCGCAGCCTTTCCTGCTGTTACAAGGCATGGGGTGAAGAGCACAGAGGCAGCCTTCACCTCTGCCCTCCTTTTGCCATGCATAGGTTGCCCATAATCTTCAGAGCTAGGATGGTTGTGGAGATCTGGATTGGATTGTTACCATATTTAACAGAAAGGCAGGTTCTGGTCCTCCACATGGACATGTGAGACATTATGATTGTGGTATTACTATCTCACAACTTAATTGCTGAACATCTCGTGCAGCCACATTTGACAGTCAAGACGAGCACTTCTTGCATCCTTCAAAGTGGGTTGAACTGTATTCCAGCTGCTAGCCTTTAAAGTGCCAGAAGACTATATTTTTGTTGCTTTGGATACATTTGTACATTTTATTCTAGCAGGGCAGTTGTAATTGAATGTAAGTAGGCATTCAGACACACACAAAGCATTTGTATTTGCTGCTATGCTACTTCACTTTGCTATGTTTAAGCATTTATCAAAAAATTACGTTTGTGCACTGTCACTAGTGATCTCGTAGCCTGAACGTTGATAGCCTCTCGGCTCCCTCTAAAGTACTTCTATTCACATTCCTGAATGTCTGTTGACTGTTTGGGAGTATATACATGTTCCCATAGCAACTTGGAAGGGTTAAAACACATTGTTTGGAAGCAAAGGGGAAAAAATCAACACTGAAACTCACACAGGGACATTTTTTCATGATGACTTTTAGTGTACATTAGCAGAAGAGCAAATACACTTCTTTTTTATCAGGTGCAAAATGATGTTCAGTTTCTGACCCAGGTTTGCCCTAGTAAAAGATTTCAAGTCTCCCTCTTTCTCTGTGTGTAGGCAAATATATCTGTTTTAAGAACAAGATTTCACTGTCATGTTATTCAGAGAGAAATGCCTGCAAAGAGGATTCCCTTCAACTTGGCACTGCATCTAAAACTAACTTTGGGATTTCTAGTGCAAAACTGAAATGTCATTCTTCTTCCTGCTCTTTCACAATCTGGTTTATTGATGTTTGGGAAAGAGCTTTGTTCCTCTGCGGGTCTTTTGTGTTCTTTTTAAAGATTGATGCTCATTAATCTATAAATGCTAACAGATATGGATTCTTTATGCAAGCTAAAATTTATATTTCTTTAGCTCCATCTAGTGGACAAAGCATTACATCTTTGAAGTTAGAGAACAATGATCTCCATCTTGAGAGCTCTAATCAGATTTATAAAATTTAATTTAGAATATGACAAAAAAATTTAGTTGGATGCATGACTGCTCACATATTAGAGAAAATTGCCATTTGCTTTAGGTTAAGCGAGCACACTTTATGATTCCACACACTGTTGCTCCTGTAATGTTCATTCAAAGGGAGAGGGTGGGAAACAGGGACACTTGTGTACATAATGACATACCTACTTTCTCACCAAATATTACTCCACACCAGTATTAAACACAATAGAGGACTTGTCTATGCCTGTTGTATGTGGTTGTCAGTTATTCTGAAACAGCTTTTTCTATGTAGGTTTCTAAAGCAAATTAACCACACTACTTTCCTTATTATATTATTACATTTATGTGATAGTCTGTAAGTCCCCTGGGACTGTGAATTTAAAAAAGAAAAGAACGCTTAAAAGAATATTTATATCTAAGTACAGATTATTCAGCAGTACTTACAACCTGGATAGAGAGATAGTGGCGAGATCGAAGAAAAACTTAGTGGCAGTGCAGGCAGCCATGAAATCTTTTTAGAAGGCAAAATGGTGGCAGTGATTTATTTGGGGAAAGAAACAGAAAATCATTCCTGTGCTTACTAGGGATAGCTTACGTTAATTAAGATCAACAAGTCATAAACAATGTCAGGCTAGATCTCTTCTCATTTGCTGTTGCAGCTTCTTTTTAAATTTTTTCTTTATTTTTCAATCTTAGGGTTAGGATTATAGGAGGCTACTTGAAAACTTAGGTATTGGCAGTGATTTACCAGAGATTTTCTATACAAAGAATAAGCATAGCCCCTGCCCTTGGGCTTGCACTGAACTGAGATAGGCACAGCATCTCAAGAAAAGGCAGTTTGAAACAAGAGATGAGATGCCAAGCTGACGGAAGCTCACAGAATACACAAGTGACATTTAAAAGTGCTTTACAACATGAAAAATTGAAATACAAAGCATCCACAGTCAAAACATTCAAAACAAAAGATGCAAAAGATAACAAAAACTTTAAAAAAGTTAAATGCACCCTCAAACCAGAGAACTAACAATCAACAAACTATGAATTGTCATCAGTAAGGAAGGCCAGGATTAGAAAGTGCATCTTTAGCTGGTTAATAAAATATGATCTTTGCTTCTTTCCACTTACAAAAGAGGGAATCGTTCCACAAAATGGCTGCCATAATGTGGAAAGCCCGTTTTCAGATTGTCATGAAATGGCAATCTGCAGGTTGTGATTCAACCAAGAAAGGTTTCTCTGATCTTCTTAATAATCAAGTGGATCTGTATCAAGGAAGAAAAATAGGTATTATGAGACCAGAAAACAGGTCTGCTCTTAGTAGGTTAGGATGATGGAAGAGTATGCTTTCTATCAAATTAATTATTGGTCTACAGAGGAAAGCTGATTATTGGTAGTGGTTTGAGAAGGAAGGAAGGAACTTCGATTTATTCTGATTAAACTATGCATGCCTCTAGGTTTGCCTATACAGTCCCTCACAAAGATTAGGACCATTGCTACCAACTCCAAGAGTGGTTTGCTGACTTCATTCTTATTAAGTAATTCTAACCTCAGTCATATTGGTTAAACATTGCTTAGATCCATCTGGACTACTAATGATCTTAGAATGCTATTTTAATTCATATTTTTCATTAGAATTTTATTTTAGTATATTGAAAGGCATTAAAGTGGGATGCAGTTTCCACAAAGGACCAAAGATCTAATTTGACTGGGCCAGTTAATGGTTATTTGTTTTGACTGTAAACTGTTCAAGCTGTAATTTAATCTGTATTTTCTGGAATCTATCCCATTTTAAGTAAACAGATTGTGGGTCTCATACAGTACTACAGTGTAAATGCTAGAATGAAATAAAGGGGCAAACTTGGGCATTTCTCTTGATTTTGAGATGTGTTACTGCCTTTACTCTTATTAGTCACTGTTAACCTGACAGAAAGTTAAAGATCAAGGGATGAAGAAAGGTTTGGGTATACTTACAGTTGACTGAACGAAATTTATAAGTAGTCATGACTACCTTCATTGCCCATGATTTCAGAGAGTCAACCAGTAAATGTGACTAAGCATAGATCTTACACAGAGGTCAAGATTGAAGAGTTTCATTTAATTAATGTTTCATTTCTTGTCATTCCAATACATATTACTGTCCATGTTATTTAAGCCCAATGAACCCAGAAACATGTTGTACCCCAGCACTGCTACTGGGGGTATTGAAATTTCAGGAGGTCCTAAGCAAAATGATGTCCCTTATGACGGGAACTGCAGCCATAGCAGCCATTTTACTTCCCATAATCCATTGCCTACAGAAGGTCTGTTTTCATGGGCTCTGTGCTCTTTTTAGTAGTGCTATCAAGGGCTCATACTGGCCTCTCCTGGCTATTTTATGCATACTGATAGAGTTCTGGTGGGTTAGGTATTCCTGGCATTGCATTTGGGAAAATTAAAACAGCAGCTGTGCAAGCAGATTTAATTTCTTGGGCAGTGCTCCCGCCAACATTAAAATTAGAAGGAAGGTGCATGGGCTTGGTGAAGTGGTGATGGTGGTCCCTCCATATGCCCATGGTCCCAGCATTTGCCTGGGTATACCAGGCAGGCATTGGTGGCTTGGGGTGGGCAGTTTTGCTTCTTAGACCACATGCTATGGTGGCCATGTTACCTCGATGTTTCCTAAAACCATCACAGCAGTATCACCAACTTTAATCTCACCTTTTTCAAAGGCACATACAGAAATCTTTCTCTGAGGTCAATAGAAAGTATAAAAAGGAATAAAGTGTTTGCTATGCCACTTACTACCACCTGCTTATTTCTTATCAATTATGCATTTGCTAGATTTTGAAGACAAGAAATCATTTTAAACATAGACAAATTATTCCCTAAGCTCTACAAAGTGCTCAATGTTTCTTTCCCTTCTCTTTTAATAGGACTTGGCTTGTACACAGTAAACACAGTATATGGAGATACCATTGTTTTGCCTTGCCATTTAGAAGTTCCTAATGACCTTATGTTTGGAAAATGGAAATATGTAAGTATATGTAATTATTGCTATTATCTCAGTGTAGGACAATGTGCCATACAATTGAAAGTCTAGCTGAAATGTGTTGTGAGAATATGCATTTGGGCATCTAGCACTTATATAGGTGTGCATTAAGGTGAATGAGGCATCACTATTACCTTAGTCATTTTGGAAAAGTTTGTGCACTTGTTCTAGAATGTGCTTCAATGTGGTGAAAACATGGCACTATATTTTTGTAACATTCAGGCTTGTTTCATACACTAATGTATTTTAGGCTTGCTGGAGCAATGTGAGCCAAGATCATAAAATCAATGACTTTTTCATTTTGCATCTGAGGTGCATGGGGTGTACATATTGAACTCAGGGAATGCACAGCAGAACTATGGTAAAATTAATGAAGCTTTCCCCTTCAGATATTGGGAAAAACAGTATAGAACAAATACACTGCTTTATTTTATTTATTTATTTATTTATTTATTAAAACATTTTTATGCCGCCCCATTCGCCGAAGCCTCAGGGAGGCTTACAACAAATAAGTTAAAACATCATAACATTTTAAAATATATACATTAAAATAAATTACAAATATACAATATAAAATAGGCCGCCCTGGCCAGAAAAATTCAATAATATTAACATTTAAAATGCTGCTTGAAGAAAAAGGTCTTCGCCTGACGCCAAAAAACAAATAACGACGGCGCCAGGCGTACCTCTCTGGGGAGCGCATTCCATAACTTAGGCGCCACCGCTGAGAAAGCCCTCCTCCAAGTACTTACCCTCCTAATTTCTTTCACGGAGGGCTCCTGGAGAAGGGCCTCTCCCGCCGATCTCAGGGGGCGGCTGGGCATATATGGATGTAAGCTCTCCTTCAGGTAACCAGGACCCAAGCCATTTAGGGCTTTATAGGTCATCACCAACACCTTGAATTGGGCCCGGACTTCAATGGGAAGCCAGTGAAGCTGACGGAGAACTGGAGTCATGTGAGCATAACGTCCAGTCCCCGTCAGCAGCCTGGCAGCTCTATTTTGAACCAATTAAAGTATCCGGACCGTCTTCAAGGGTAGCCCCATGTAGAGCGCGTTACAGAAGTCAAGACGGGAAGTCACCAGCGCATGTGTCACTGTCGCGAGGTAGTCGTACTCCAGGTAGGGGCGCAGCTGATAAATCAGCCGAAGCTGGAGGAAAGCGCTCCTCGCCGTTGCTGTTACTTGAGCTTCCAGTGAAAGCTCAGGGTCGAGGAGCACTCCCAAGCTGCGGACCTTGTCCCTAAGAGGGAGTGGAACCCCGTTCAGGACAAGGTTCAATTCACCCTCTCCAAAGCCTGATCCGCCAACCAACAGGACCTCCGTCTTGTCTGGATTGAGCTTCAGTTTATTGGCCCTCATCCAGCCCATTACCTCGGCCAGGCACCGGTTCAGTACAGCCACTGCCTCACCTGGATTGGTGGAAAATGAGAGGTAGAGCTGGGTATCATCAGCGTACTGATGGTTCCGCAGCCCACACCTCCTTTACCTGTTGTTAACAAGTAGCTTGCATCAAACTCATGTTGAATATTCCAGTCAATCAGCCATTCCTTCTTCTAGGATAGTCCATTCCATCACCACCACCACCACCACCACCCAAGTTCTCCTTTCCTACTCCCACCAGTGGTCACCATGCCACATCTAGTGCATGGAATGGTGTCAGCCATATTGGACTGTTTCAGAGGAGAAAGTGTTCCCTTTGTTCCTGCTGCGGCTGTTGTTGTTGTTGAACATTAATTGTTTAATTGTTCTGTAAACTGTCAGAGTTCCCCAAACATGCTAATACTATCTTTTGTGATCAGTGGTACTATTTGTGTTACATAAGGACTCTAGGTATATATGGGCATGAAGAACTGTAAGGCAGGATCTGAGTCTGGAAGGAAGATGAGGTACGCAGACAAAACAGGGAAGAACAAGATCAGAAAAATGAAGTTGAAACTAGTTGAAACCTCATTTTCCTTTTAAAAGCATCCAAATTAGCACCTTTCACAATATCTTGTGGTAGGGAGTGTCACAATCATATAAGGAAATTAAACAGGAATAATAATAAGACTGGGTGATACCTTCTATTGCATTGGAATTCTGGTTGGCTTTACAACTCGTTCTTCCAATAACTGTGGTCTTTTTGAAAAACGTAGTCCACAAAAGACTTACATAAAAATAAATGTGTTACTGCTGCAACTAGGAGTTTCAGAGAAATTCTCATCAAATGAATTCACATTTTTGTGACTTCAGTCAATCACTGCTGCATCTGCTTGGCTTTTCCTGAATCACAAAAATTCCATGCACTTCTGGACCATTTCTCTACTCTCCACTTTTTTCTGCTTTTCTTAATTTCTACACAAATTTAGTCCTCAAAAATATGAAAGATAAAAACTGAGCAAAAATATACATTTCTCCAAATAGACTAAAGCATAAAGATGCACATCTTGGATAGATGTGTGTATGGGGTGGGGGTGAATTTTCAGAAGTGCATATGAGTTTTTTTGAAAAATCTGATTATGGGAGCGGACAAAAGAAATAGAAGCCTGACAAACTGCAAAATGCAGGTGGAGTGGATATAACTGAGTCTATACATTGTGCAGCTGCATTTCTGAAGCTGCACAATGTCATGACCTAGAAGCCTTCAGTGAATATTAACTTTTTGAGTGAAGTGATTTAGGTAAATGTCTGATAGTTGATCGTGTAAGAAGTATTGTTAGCAGCAGGTACAAAAATACTTTGCAGAGCATCTAGAGATGTAATGATAATAGTATGATATTCATTAAGGAAGTAAACCTAATTTAGAAATGAGCAGTTCATTATAATTGCTTAAATTGCAAGTAAATTTTCTGACAACAGCTCAGTGGCTCAGATTCAAAGCAATTTTTTCAGTTTCCAAATAAAATTGACCCCATATCTAGAGAAATTGTTTCATTTATGGGAGTCCTTGTGTAGCTCTTGAATTTCCCTTATAGTCACAGCCTGTATATTCTTTATTCATCATGTTTGCAGAAAAAAACAGTGAAATTGACTGGTGGAAATAAAACTGAGTTGTTCCTAACTAAATTAAAAATGTTTCAGTTTACATTCCACGTCAGTCTGAGTACTGGAAAAGAGCCCCTTTCCCTATAAACCCATTCCCTAAACACCTTACTCCTTTCCCCTTAAGGCAAGGATGAGGACACCTGGCATATGGGCTGAGTTTCCCATGCTTCCCCATCAAGCCCAAGAAGGGTCCATTGACACCCCTCCTGTTCTGTCTTCCTGAAGGTCTACCTTTCTTGGGCAAGCCACCTTGATGAACATTCCTGGAATTCACCATTGCATTGCCTTCCTTCACCACTTGCATTTTCCAATCTGGGAAGGTTATGTGTGAGTGAAGTTAGGAGCTGCTGCATCGTGTGTGTGTGTGTGTGTGTGTGTGTGTGTGTGTGTGTGTGTGAGAGAGAGAGAGAGAGAGAGAGAGAGAGAGAGAGAGAGAGAGAGAATAGATTATATTCCCACACTAGAGACTTTCAAAGAGAAATGGACAGCCATCTGAGTGGAATGGTGTAACTTGGTGTCTTGCAACAGCAGAGGGTTGGACCCAGTGGCCTTCATGGCCCCTTCTACTATCCTGAGAGTCTATACGTGCATGTGAATGGGGTCTATAAAAGCATGCTGGGTTGCATGCCAGCAGCCAGGTGGCTGTGCTTGCTTTGGGCTGTGGTGCTGCCTGCTGCTGGCGTGTGTCTTCTAAGGTGCATACCTGGAGACAATTTGGCCTTCCGGCTGAGGCATTCCCTCTACTTCCTGAATCCTTCCAAGGTCGGTAGTGAGGCAGTGGTGGCACGCAAGTGAGAAGGAAGCAAGGAGATTCTTGCTCCCCCAACTTATTACTGTGCTGCTACACAGGAGAAAGGGTGAGGTAGAATGTTGCAATTCTTTTTTCAGTTTGGCTTTTAGAGATTTTCATTCCTGCCAGAATGTGTGAAAGCTGGACCTTTATTCTAAGTATCATTGTCATGAGGTCAGTGGGGTAGGGGCTGAGGAGGGGAGGCCATAGGCTGGGTCCATAGGTTCTACAGGCCATATTCAGCCGATGTCCTCCTGTTTCCCACCCCTGCTTTAAAAGTTTTAAGAGCCACTCAAGTTAATTTCTGAAGCTGGCTGAAGAGAACTTTATCAGCGTGCTTTGTTTGTGTACAATATCCCAGTGCTCTCCAGTACTTCATGGTGCCAAGCCTTTCACTCATGGTTATTTGTAGTCATGCCATACACACACACACACACACACACACACACACACACACACACACACAGAGACCGACCGACAGACAGAGAAGGTCTGACATTTAGAGTGAAGTACTTCCACCTGTACTCTATGCATATTTTGGAGTAACACACAATTTCATAATCTAAGATCCTGCAGAGCCACAATTCCAAAATTTGCCAATTTAATAGCCTTATTATGTATCACTTAGAATCCAGTCTTTTGAAATCTCATTACAATATTTATCCATAGCTGTATTGCATGTCAATGAATGGTTGCCAATGACCTTTGAAAATTCAGTATAATTTAATCCTTTCCTAATTTGTGTTGTACATTTTGTTAAAAAAGTATTAGATGGGAATGACCATTAATAACAGTCCTTTAAAAACTTTTCCTTTCTTTTTTAATTCTAGGAAATTGCAAACAAGGCTTCAACATTTATTGCTTTCAGATCTGCAACCAAAAAAACTGTACAATATGACGACGTGCCAGAATACAAAGACCGATTAAGTCTCTCAGAAAATTATACCCTATCAATTAGTAATGCTAGAATTGGTGATGAAAAGAAATTTGTATGTATGCTTATAACGGAGAACAATATCCTTGAACAGGCTACAATAGTCAAGGTGTTCAGTAAGTACCAATTATTGTAGCAGCAATATTGTTCACTAGTCTGTGCCTTTCAGTTAGAGAATTCCTAGCAAATTGGTTGTTTGGTCATAAATGAAAGGCCTAATTTTGTGTGTGGACATCATATAATACAATTTTTAGTAATTTATGTCCAAAAGTAAATGCATAGGAGTTTCTGCTCCAAGAAAGTAGAATGTAAATGCATGGTTTATTATGTACACATTTTTATTCATATAGATAAGCAAAACTGCAAGAATTGTTGAGATGTTAAGTGTGAACACATCTAAAAATTATCCTATGTATTTCTTTGTTTCTGTAGCACTACTTCCTGCCATACATGCTCTAGTTGCACATCATTTCCCAGGTGTGCTTCCTTTCCCATATGTATCTACAAGGGGAGAGTCCAGGCACTTACTGGAAACAGCCAGTGGGCAGAAGAGGGGAAAAGCACAGGTCTTGCAGTACTGGCCTGTGAAGGCAGAGACATCATCAATTGAGTAACATCCCAGGAATTTCAACACCAAGTAAACCCAGAAAATTTTATCACTTAAACTGTTGAAAGACCAAGTGTATAATGGAGTTTTCCATTATAAAATAATATTCCAATATCACACAAAAGACCGATGAAAGGTTCAGTATTTTAGATTTAAATGTTGTAGATATATCTTATCATACATGCAAAGTTTTAACAGAAATAGGCAGTTTCTGGGAATACTTGGATGATCAACTAGTTTGCTAGACCTGAATCAGGGATTAATTTTCAGGTTCAATGTACACCTGAAGGTAAGAGTTAAAGGAATAGGGTTGCCCACAAACCCTAGCTCAATTCCCTCCCAACTGATTAACGTCCATGCTTCTCTTCAGATCTTTCTGTACTTAGGTTATCTAAGTATATCCAGTGGAATTAGTTTGAAGACCTCCCAACAACTGGGAAGTTTATCAGGGCTTTATCTTTATCAGGCCTTTCAAATGCTTCCATGCTTATAAATTCTGTTGAGACCGTTGTGCCAAACGAACAGAGGTATGAAGAAGCCATTCATGCAAGAATGTTCCAGGATAGCTCACTGAGCTACTCATTTTTAGCCCTCATGTAATATTGCTACCATGGATCAGAGAAACTTTATCATGTCATTGTCTTTCAGCATTGGTTCTATAAAATGTGAAAAAAGCAACTTATTTCACAGGTTTGTTATGAGGGCAAATTTAAGAATAAGCTGGCCGAAGCATCTTTTTGTATAGTAATTCTGATTTTTTACATTTGTGAATGCCCATTGCTTAAAGTAGCATTGGACGTTATAGAAAGCACTGACTTGATCTGCAATATGGATCAATGTGGATTTCCAAATGGCCAATATGCGTAATAATATGTAATATGCATAGCCACAGGATTCCTTATTTATGGACACATGCCAACAAGCATACTGACAGAAATTCTTAGTCTCTGAGTCTCTGTTGAAGATACCTCACAGTGTTGCTGTGAAGATAGAATGAAGGAGGACTATATAAGCAGATCCCAGTTCCTTGCTAGGGTGGGGGTTGGGGTTGGATATAAGTTAAATAAACAGATAATTTCTGACATCAGTTGATATTTGGCATATCCAATTCATCTTTCAGGTTTTTAAAACTAAAATTCTGTATGGGAGCTTGCATGAAACACCGCAGAGAAAAATAATTTTCAGATAACAAATTAGAAGCATGCCCAGGAATGTGAAGCCTTGACAATTGCTTTCTCTCAATCAGCATTTTCAAGAAGTTCATATCAATAAGATAGCAGAAAAGTTCCCAACTCTTTAACCAGATTAAATAATAATCAGGCCGTGGAAGCACTTTCATTTTGTCCTCAAATATAGGGTTGATCATGATATAAAGAGAGGGTTTTTTTTAAGCCTACCCAGAATTTATTCAAGTTTTTCTAGAATAGTCTCTCCTTTAGCAAACAGCACACCAAGAAAAGTAAATATTGTTTACAGAAACAATAAAATTTTGAACGCTAAACAGAAACTCCATCCTACCTTCCAGACAAGCCTTTTAGGTCAGATTGAGGCTTCCAATACACACGTTTTAAAATGTAAGCTATAGTATGATTGAATGGCAAAGATATTTAAATCCTGGTCAACATTCTCTATCTGTCTTTTCTACTATAATATCTGAGAAGGAGAAGTATAAACAAAATAGATGGAATTTGCATATATCCTTCAAGCAAATTTCTCTGTGCAAGTTTTCTTCCAGGTGTTTCTACAGCTCCACTGTAATATGTTAAAGTGCCAGTTCACAGTTTAGTACAACAATATTTCATATAGTGAGCATTTCTGGTACACACAATTAGAAGCTCAGTTTACTGGCACAGTGAAGGATTATTATGAATGAGTAATTCCGCTGAGTTAGCAAGAACAAAAGCTCTTAACATTTGGAATTTTCTGCACATTAAATAAGGTACTCAGAAGCTTTAAATTTAAATTAATTTTCATTATAGCTTCTGAGGAGGGAGAAATCTGGATTTTCTTAGCAATGCCATATGTTTACTCACTGAAGTGTATAAATTGCATCCACAGATGCAGTTCACAATAGCTTTTGCTGAACCCAAAAAGCTGGCTCTCTGAAAATCAGATGTATCCCTGGAGACATTTCTGTGAAGCTTGTTGTATCCCCAGTCCTGAACTAATGGGCTAGCACAGTGAGCTACCAAGCTGTGTTGGCTTGTGGAACCATTAACATTTGCCTGTAGCACCCACTGGTTCATTCACTGTCAACCATCTTTCTTGGTGAACCTTGTCTACAATTTCATGTGCACCTTCCAAAGTGCATCCTCTTTCCTCATGTCCATTCATATTCCCTGTCACTATTAGTTAAATGTACAAAGCTGTATTCTTGTAAGCTTCTAAATCAAGAGTTAAGTAGCCTGCTGAAATTTCTAGCAGCTCTAATCTAATGCTGTTGACTTCTGGAGCTTAAATTTATTGCTTCTTCAGTAAAAAGCTTAAATGAGCAGGTGCATCACATATTTTCTTTGTCTTCCATCTTATTATGCAGTGTGGATCTTTTATATAATAAATATAAATAGCCAAACTTCTGTTAATTCAAAAGTGATCCCTAGTGATTTCAGTGGGACACACTTGCAGGTAAAGTACTTTGAATTACAGTCAAAGGATACGTCAAAGAGCAAATGAGTTCCACCATATGTCTTCCTCAGTAATATCTTTGAGTTTATCCCAGTAGAAATGCAGAATTTACAGGCCATTTACATTAGTTATGATTTCAACAATTAAATTGCCACCCACCTTACAAGGCAACTAGATTGTGTTATTTTACAGCATTGTAGCCATGTGGCATTTTCAAAGTCTTATTTTATTTCAGGATTATATTCTTTGGCTCCAATTTTAGGAATAAAGTGAGGGTGCTTTTTAAAGAATGTAGTGCTTTGTTGAGAGCAACAGAAGGAAATTTGATGGCACTGCTTATATAATGCATCAAGTGGCTTCTATGGAGCACTTGAATATCATCAGCTAGTACAACATGAGGCATCAACTCAGTATTCTCTCTGGGGTGGAAGGTATTATTTGATGTTCTCAGAATCCCCCTTTTTAATTCCAGTGTTGATACTTTGAAAACTATATCTAAAAATAAAGAAATGTGCATTTCCATCATTAATCTGGAATATTTGTGTGTAAATCAAATTAATCAATTAAAACAGAACTATTAAACTATTAAAATTTCTTTAACTCAGTTGCAACATTAGCTATACTTACGTTAAGATTTATATAATATTAAAATTTTACAATGAGGTAAAACTAAAATATAATGGAAAAATATAAACATATTAAAAGGGCATATAGATCTGCACAATTAATCTCCTATTTTTGTTCTTACTTTTTGTTTGCTTGGTATGTTATCACTTGGCCCCCAGATAAATAGCCGACAATTCATTTTAAGTGGAATATCTCTATGCTAGGAGAACTTAGGACTCAACCCCATGCGTGTTTAAAAGACCTCCAGTTCTCCGCATGATGGCAGTTGAAGGTGTTTTCTCTGTCTACACATGTATAGGACCATGGCTTTGGAGATACAGCATGTAGCAAATTAGATGTAACATCCCAGTGCCATAGATGTGGGGGCTCAGGAAACAGTTTGCCTGTGAGACAAGGACATCAAGCTTGTCCTTCTTTTCAGGTTGTCAGTTACAATTGCATTAAAACATATAACTATAATATATCATGGATGTCAAATTGAGCCAATATAGCTGCTTCCTTGTAACTGGAAGGCTTGTAAGATACAGTGTTTTGTTTTATCAAGCCATTGGTCTTCCAGATCTATTGCTATCCATCCTGTGGGCTCCTGAAGGGCCTAAGGCATGCCTTTATTAGCCCTGCTACCCAAGATTCTCAAACCAGAGACATTCAGGATTAACGTGTGCTTTTCCCATAAATATGTCATATGGTATGTTTTTTGCAGTTCTCTCTCACCATGCACCTTTGCCCCACCCACTCCATTTTTAATGTCTAAGTACTTCTCTATCATCTCTATCAGCTAGCATCGTAGCATAAAACATGGTGTTGCACTTGAACAATATCCCAGGCAATCCTTCCTGTGGCTACTTTCGTATATATTTAAAAGTGAAATAGGCATATGTTACACTTGACCATTTTTGTATTGTTTTCTCGCATGAACATTATACTAGTGTAGGAAAGAATCATGTGAAACAAGTGCAACTCAGATTACCATTGTAAAAATATGCATAGTTCAATGATTGTCTCTTGAAAACCTTTGCACTTTGGTTGTTTTTTTTTTTCTTTGTGTTACAGAACAGCCTTCTCAACCTGAAATTACAAATCGGGCAATGTTTCTAGAAACAGAACGGCTAAAAATGGTAAGTGAACTTTCCTTCTGTTAAGCTCCTTCAAGTTGGTCTGCCTTGTTCTGATGATTCCCTGCATGAGCTCAACATGTTCTAAATGTGTATTAAATAAAATTGATTTAACACAGTTTAAACATTTAAAACATAACAAACAGCATATCTCAGAGTCTTATTAACCATCCTCATGGCCCCAAAGAAAGCCCAACAGAAAGGTCTTACACAGTTCCAACCAGTGATAAAACTGAGACTTGACAAATCTGCAAGTGAAACGACAAATCAGTGGAATGTGTTTCTTGATTCTCTATCAAGATGATCCATGCCAAAAGAACAATTTTTGCATAAAAGCTCCTTCACTGTTACCTCTTTCTGTTAGCAGTTTTCCTTAAAAACTGATTCATGCTCAGGCAAAATGAGGCCAGACTGTCATCCATGCAAGTGACCCCAGGGGTCGTACTTTAATCTGACTCACAGTAAGCTCCCCTCTTGTGCCTTACCGCTCTGCACTGGGTTGCCCTAGTCATTTTCCCTACATTCCAGTATTAGAAGTGAACTAAAAATAATTTTATTTAAAAGTACCAGGAACAACAGGCCAAGGTGGATAAGTCAGGATTGGTTAGTGCTTCATTTTCATTTTCATTATTTTCATGGCACCATTAACTGTTAAAATGCTGATGCATTGATGGATGTGTACCATTATCTCACCTAATTTCTATAGCATGTTAGTTGTAGAAAAGCTACCTTCTTGATGAGGTCATAAAGAGAGGACCTAGAGAGGTCCTCCTGGCGCCGTCATTATATGCTTTTTGGGACCAGGTCAAGACCTTTTTATTTAACCAATATTTTAAAGTTCCAATATTTTAAAGGTTCCCTGCATCCATCCTTGTGCCCCCCTGCCGGCGTCGGTGAAAGCAACGCCGGATTGGGGCAGGGCGCGGGGGTGAATGCCAGCTTAACTCGCCGGTCGCAGCCTGGGGCCAGCGGCCAAAGGGCGACGGCCAAAGGGCGGTTGCCGCCATTTGTGGCCGTTTGTGGCTGTGCAGGGGCTGGGCTGGCAAGAGACTCTGTCAGTGGGTGGAGTTTTATATCGGGGGGTAGATGGGGAATTGTATACTGTTTTAATATTTTTATTGTATTTTAATTTGTTTTTATGGAGTCGATCCTGGCCATGTCGGCGGTTGAGTTACCTGGGGACCACGTGGGCGCCACCTTTGAGGTGGTAGTGGGCAATGGACGTTACAGTGGTGGGGGTTTAACATGTCCGCGTAGAAGGAGGGAAAGATGGTTGACACCTGTCCCTCCTTCTGGTTATACCCCCAGCCAGAGGGTTTCAGGTAGTCAACCGCCCCCTGGGCCTGACGCTGCTGTTGCTTAATGCCAGGTCAGTCCACAATAAATCGTCCCTCATCCACGACCAGATTGTGGATGAGGGGGCCGACCTGGCTTGCATAACAGAGATCTGGGCGGGAGAGGGGAGGGATGTTGCCCTCTCCCAAATGGTGCCCGCCCAGGTATCTAGTTCAGCACTGTCCATGCCTGGAGGGGAGGGGAGGGGGGTTACTTTGGTTTACGGAGCCTCCATCTCCCTCACGGGGCTTTCAGTCCCTTCAAGGCTGGGGCTAGAGTGCCTCTACTTGGTGCAGGGCGACTGAGACAGACTGGGAATTCTGTTGGTGTACCGTGTACCCTTCTGCCCAACAGACTCCCTGCCTGAGCTGATGGAGATCGTCTCAGACCTGGTGTTGAGGACCCCCAGGATGTTGGTCCTGGGGGACTTCAATCTCCACGCCGAGACTGGTCTGACCGGGGCGGCTCCAGACTTCATGGCCTCCATGACGGCCATGGGGCTGTCTCAACATGTCACAGGCCCGACCCATGAACGTGGACACACTCTGGACCTGGTTCTCTTGACGGGGCAGGAAGAGGGTGATCTGAGGGTGAGGAATATGTGTCTGACACCCCTGTCATGGTCAGATCACTTCCTCGTGAGGTTTGTGCTTAAGAGCGGCCTTTCCCTCTGTAAGGGTGCAGACCCGATTGTGTGGGTCCACCTCCAGAGCTGGATGGATCCGGATGGATTCCTGAAGGCCCTGGGGGAATTTCCAGCTGACAAGGCTGGTGCTCCTGTCGAGGCACTGGTCGAGCTATGGAATGGGGAAATGACCAGGGCTATTGACACGATCGCTCCTAAGCATCCTCTCCTGCCGGGCAGAGCCCACTCTTCCCCTTGGTATACACCTGAATTGTGGGTGATGAAGCGGGTTGGGAGACGTCTAGAGTGTAGGTGGAGGAAATCACGGGATGAATCTGACCAAACACACTTAAGAGCCCTTTATCGGGCCTATGCTGTGGCGGTGAGGGCAGCAAAGAAGAAATTCTTCTCCACTTCCATTGCCTCTTCACAATGCCATCCGGCGGAGCTTTTTCAGGTGGTACAAGGGCTGGTTCATCCTGGCCCTAAGAAAGATCCGGTACCACCCACTGACAGAGTCTCTCGCCAAGCATTTTAGGGAGAAAATCGCTCAGATTTGTCACAAGCTGGACTCCACTAGCGACTCAGAGGCTTCTGGGGAGATACCAATGTCGCCGTCTGGTCCAAAATTGATGGATGAGTTTCAGTTACTGTGGCCTGATGATGTGGACAAGGTGCTTGGACGAGTATGTCCTACCACTTGCCTATTGGACCCTTACCCATCTTGGCTAATTAACAACACCAAGCACGGGACAGGGACCTGGATCTTGGAAGTGGTTAACGCCTCTCTGAGGGATGGCTGAGTACCTGCCCCTTTAAAGGAGTTGGTAGTCCGACCGATCCTGAAGAAGGCATCACTGGATCCAGAGATGGCCACTAATTATAGACCAGTGGCCAACATCCCGTTTTTGGGCAAGGTGTTGGAGCAGGTGATGGCGGGACAACTTCAAGCACTCTTGGATGAAGCTGATTATCTGGACCCATTTCAGTCCGGCTTCAGACCTGAGTATGGTACTGAATCTGCCTTGGTCGCCCTGTACGATGACCTGTGCAGGGAGAAAGACAGGGGGAATGTGTCCCTGCTGGTTCTCCTGGACCTCTCAGCAGCTTTCGATACCATCAACCATGTTATCCTTCTGGATAGGCTAGCGGAATTAGGAGTTGGAGGCACTGCTTTGCAGTTGTTCCACTCCTATCTCAATGGCCAATTCCAGAAGGTGATGTTGGGGGACTATGGCTCTGCGCCATGGCAGCTATGCCATGGAGTACCACAGGGATCGATTTTGTCCCCTTTGCTATTTAACATCTACATGAAACCACTGGGAGAGGTCATCAGGAGGTGTGGGCTGCGGAACCATCAGTATGCTGATGATACCCAGCTCTACCTCTCATTTTCTACCAGTTCAGGTGATGCAGTGGCTGTACTAAACCAGTGCCTGGTCGAGGTAATGGGCTGGATGAGGGCCAATAAACTGAAGCTCAATCCAGACAAGACGGAGGTCCTGTTGGTTGGCAGATCGGGCTTCGGGGAGGGTGAATTGAACCTAGTCCTGTATGGGGTTGCACTCCCTCTTAGGGACAAGGTCCGCAGCTTGGGAGTGCTCCTCGACCCAGAGCTTTCACTGGAAGTTCAAATGACAGCGGTGGTGAGGAGCACTTTCTTTCAGCTTCAGCTGGTCCATCAGCTGCAACCCTATCTGGAGAATGACTGCCTAGCGACAGTGACACATGCGTTGGTGACTTCCCAACTTGACTTCTGTAACACGCTCTATGTGGGGCTGCCCTTGAAGACGATCCGGATACTTCAATTGGTTCAAAATAGAGCTGCCAGGCTGCTGACGGGGACTGGGCGTTATGTTCACATGACTCCAGTTCTCCGTCAGCTTTACTGGCTTCCCATTGAAGTCCGGGCCCAATTCAAGGTGTTGGTTATGACCTATAAAGCCCTTAACGGCTTGGGTCCTGGCTACCTAAAAGGAGCACTTACGTCCATCTGTGCCCGCCCGCCCCTTGAGATCAGCGGGAGAGGCCCTTCTCCGGGAACCCTCCGTGAAGGATATTAGGAGGGTAAGTACTCAGAGGAGGGCTTTCTCTGCGGTGGCGCCCAATCTATGGAATGTGCTTCCCAGAGAGGTCCGCCTGACACCGTTGTTACTTGTTTTTCAGCGCCAGGCGAAGACCTTTTTATTTAAATGTTATTTTAATTGCTAATATTATTTATTTATTTTGCATCTTTAGCCAGGAGGTCTCCAATTATATTGTTTTTATATTGTTATTATTTATTTATTGTTGTGAGCTGCCCCAAAGCTTTGGCGAATGGGGCGGCATAGAAGCCTTCTAAATAAATAAATAAAATTTTAATTGTATATTTATTCATTTAATTCATTTTAACTATGTTATTTTATACTCAGTCATGGTGTAGCAAATTTATTGCTTAGCATTGGATATAGTATTTGGGCTTTTAATGTTTGTAACCCACCCAGAGAGCCCTCTGGGCTATTGGGGTGGTATATAAATGCAATAAATAAATAAATACATAATAATAATAAATAAAGATTTTGATGGTACAGGTGGCAAAGATAGTTTCTTGATGAGCTGGTGCACTAGTTACAGGAACATACAAACCCCTACTATTCCGAACTTCAGATCTAATCATGTCTTTGAATTTTTAGCTTGGGGAATGTATTACAAAAGACGGTTATCCACAGGGAAACCTAACATGGTTCAAAAATGGAATTGTCTTGCAACCTGTTGAAGGAGGTAAGTTTTAGAACTGGAAGTGCATTCTACTGGCTAATACAGTGGGATTATTTTTAACAACTCATTTAGTTGCTAAATTATATCAACAATGTTGCAATTAGAACTGTAAAATATTGGCTGGACCTTGTTTCTGTGCCTTTTCTCCAGTAACTAGACATAAACTTTAAATTAGTTTCCTTTTTAATGTAGTTACCTTAAGAAATATTATTGTTCCTTCTGTTGCTTGGAAGTTTCTTTTCCCAGTAATTTGTAACAGCTACATGGTAACCTTAGTCATTTAGGATCTCTTTTCCTTTCATTCATGTAAGGAATTCATGTAGAGTCTTGTCAGAATAACTTAATTTACATTTAATGTATGTCTCACACCATATTTTTGCAAATGTCATTAAAACAGACTAAATTTTTAAAATGCAATGATAGTTGAAAGCCATGCTTTTTCTTTCAAAAGCTGTTGTCATAAATGAGCAAACAAATGTGGCTAAAGCAAGTGGACTCTTCACCGTGATATCATCTCTAGAGTATAAGCCAATGAAGGATGATACCAATGCACAGTTCACCTGCACAGTGACATATTTTGCACCCACTGGACAAGAAACCATACGGTCAGAATCGGTGGTCTTTGACATTCATTGTAAGTTCATAACTAACTCTGTCTCTACAACAAGAGGCTATATTTCTGTTTTTAGGGTTTCACTGTTACTACTGTTTTAAGATAGGGTCAGGTTGGATAGGTTCTGTCCAAAACATGGCTTTACAGTTTTTTTAGATGGACAAAACGGGAAAGTGATGGACCAATATTGGTAAGGATGGTGACAAGATAATATGTGTTATGGTTGTTTGTGTAAGAGTTTGAAAACTTGTTAAGCCTATTTATGTCACATAGAACTGTATGGAAGAAGGTATTAATGTGGATAGGCATAGATAAAAAGCATAATGAGCCTTACAAAGGGGATGTACATTAAGAATGTTAAGCAGCCTGAGAAATTACAACTATACGGTGAAGAAGAGACTAGGACTCCTTTCAGTAATAAATGTACAGTTGCTACTGAATTGTTATGAAGGATCCAAATATTTTTTTCTCTTCCTAGTATGTAAATTGCAACAAAATTCTCTTTTTTTCAGCACTAAAAGATACTTTTTTTGCTCCTCAAGATAGTGTGATTAGAGTCTTAGATGATACTGCTGATGAGAATGTGTTACCCCATGTCTGCATCATTCCATGAGCTTTTCAAAGATTTTTTTTTTAATGTACTGTATTGTACCATGGCAGCAAGAACCCCATGTAACCTTTAAAAATAGGAAAAACTGAATCCAAAAATGCAAGCAGCTTCAATATTCACTCTTTCCTCAATGTAGTTATCTGATCAAAAATTGCATTAAAGTGGATGTTGGGGAAATGCAGACAAAAATACACATCTTAGTGAAGAAACTACAAATATGCATTAAAGGACTTTGCAAAGTATGCAAAGCTAACATTCTTTTCTAATTAGGCAAAATTGTATACAAAACATGTACAAGAAGAAGAATATGCATTAAAATGGTTCTTAACTTTTGTACAGTTTTTTAAAAATTACATATTCATATGGAGTCAAGATAAAATGCACTTAAGACTGGAAAAATGAATTGAGAAAAACCACAGAAAGATTCTTTCATCAATTTTTACAGCTAACTACTAGAGGTTTCTTAACCTTTCAGACTAAAGCTTCATCTGAAAGTCAAGTAGAACAATAGCAGAAAAAGTATTGTTGTTGTCTATCTCCTTTTCCATGACGCCGACTCTTCTATTTAGTTTGTGAAAAATTGAGTAGAACAGGATGGCAAAGAAAAAACGATGTATGAAACCATGCCCTTTCTCTTATATCTTCTTTAAAAAAAACACCCAATCGCTGCATTCACACATAACGGCGGATAACCCTGCATGGTTATCATGATTTGCAGGGTTTTAAACCATCATCTACCTGATAGATGATCAAGTAGTTACTATTTTATCCTGGTTCTCCCACTACAGCGATCTATGGTGGTACAGAGAAACCATAGAACAATGTTGTTTCTTATTGTGGTTTCTAAAGACCACAGTTATCATTGTGAAATACTGTAACTGGGTTCAGATAAGACAGCAGGCCAGCAATGGTAAGAAATGGCCATGGTGTGTTGTGTTGTCTGAACCAGCCAATGTTTGATAGAACTAGTAGCTCAACTGTCTTCATCCTAATGAAAGAATATCTCAGTTAAAGTCTGGTCAACTATGTTGAAGACACTATTAAAATCACCAGATTTATCTTTCTAAATGCCACTACAGTAATCAGGGTGCATACATCAGTTATATATTTCATTTATTGAATGAAAAGCAGTTCAGAGAGCAGCCCTTTTGCAGTGCAGTTGAATTACCTCGTTCAATGAAACCATTCCTCCTTTTTACTTGGAATAATTATAATTCCTCATAATCTGGTTGCCAATGTTTTGATAAATTTTTAATTTCAGTATTTTCAAATCAGGATTTAATGAAGCATATAAAGTACTGATTAAACTGTGTGTGGGGCAAGGGGCGGGCTGGACTTAAGCAACAATTCTTTCATAAGATATTCCATTTGAGTAAGAGCCATTGTCTCAAAGAACAATGTATATTCTTCAAAATATATTGTGACCTTAGAAGTTTCCTTGACAGTGTGGCTGTAATCCTATATCCAATTACAGTGAATTAGAATACACCCCATGAAACTCAATGGGACTTTGACTTCTGGGTAGATATACATAAGATTACATTGTAAAATGTTATACTGAAAATAAAATCCCTGTGATTTCAGTGAAATAGACTTTGCTTAGAATTCCAATCATAGAAGCACATATTTTACACAAAACAGCTTTAGCTTTCTGCTTTACTCAGAAAAGGCAGACACTGAGCCATTCTTTCTGGTTGCCTTACATCTCTGCAAGAAATGTGGCCAAAACTCATTCCTGAAGAAATACAGACTATTATTCATAAGCAGAATTTAGGCAGCTAAGCTATAGTACTTCACTTGCCTGTATTCTTTGATTCCACATCGCTAGGTCATTATCTGGTGTGTATCTGGACACACAAATATCTGGTGTGCAGCAGTCTGTCTCAATAGTGATGTCACATTTGACAGCACCATTCAAGTGCTCAGTGAGGAACAGGAGTTCTAACGGGAAGAACACAGGTCCTCTCTCTGAATAGGAGAGTTGGTGCAGCTCCTACATTGTACAAACAGTCTTGCCAGAGCAATCAAGTGCCTATCCTGGGAGCTGAAGGTAGGAAACAAGCAGCGATAGGCTCATGCAACAGCTTTTTTGTGTCTATAATTCTGGAATCAGAAGAAAATCTTATTGCTCACTTTTCTGAGATAGTCACATTTTTAAACATACTTTTAAATATTTAGGATAGGATAAGATCATGAATTGATACATGTGTCTTTGCAGATCCTACAGAGAAAGTTACAATTGAGGTACTTTCAGAAAGAAATACAATTAAAGAAGGTGATAACATTACCCTAAAATGTTCAGGAAATGGTAATCCTCCACCTCAGGAGTTTTTATTTTATATTCCCGTAAGTATTACTTAACTGCAACTACTTAATGGGGTGGGGAGAGCACTCCAGCTTAACATTACAGATGGACAGGTAGCTAACATCTGTCCCACAACATTCTAGCTGTGTATCACTTTTATAATTTGTAGACCTAAACTTCCATATGTTCTCTACCTTCCATTTTCTATTAATATAACATTTCCCAAAATGGCAATTATTTTTAAGAACTAAGCAGAAATGTTTGTTTCAAAGACTCTGGGTATGTAAAGTAGTGATGAACTGAAATTACTCATGTATTTTTAATTTGTTTTCCACGAACAAGAACTGGAAAATTTCTCTGACTTTTTTAGGGTTTTTCTCTGAACTTCCATATTCATTTTCACCATACTTTAAATTATGCAGCAGTGTTCTCATTCAGTCATGAAAATTCAAACACAAGAAATTATATCCATGTTAAACTGAGAGGCAAAGGCTTAAATCTGATTTGTGCTAGTGGAAACACACTAGCACAATAGGACTTTCTCCCTCTCACTTCCTCTGCAGCCTTCTGTAATCCCCTTCAGCACAAAGTAATCTGCTACAGAGTGTATTCCAGATATCCAGAGTAGATTTTGAGGGGTGGGGAGAAGATTCCCCCTTCCTTCACATTTCCACTGACAGAACTGGTTCTATCAGCAGAACGGTGTAATTGGTTTCATCACTGTGTCACCAAATCTAAATGATATTTTTGAAAAGAATTAAGAAAATAAAAATTAAACAAAACTGTCTTGGTAAACTTATCCGCTCGACTTCTTTCAAAGGGAGAATCAGAACCTATACGAGGTTCTAGCCATTATATATTAACAGATGTAAGAAGAAATGCAACAGGGGAATATAAATGCTCCCTGACTGATGGAAGTCTGAAGGATTCCACTACTATTACAGTGCACTGTAAGTGATTTAGTTTTATTTTTCATTATTAGTTGACATCAGCCTTGTTTGTTATATCATAAACAAGAGAAAGGTGGGACAACCAGTGGTGCTCCAGGTGTTTTGGCCCTCAGCTCCCATCAGTCTCTGTTGCATAAGCAATGGTGAGGAATCATGGGAACTATAGGTCAAAACATCTGGTTGGCCCACAACTGTGAAGGATGGCCAGTAAAGCATGTATTTACCCAATGACTACTAATAGGCTAGCATAGATAGTGAGATCACCCTACAGTTGATCAAAAGGCAATTTTACAATTACTGTATATATACATAAAGTCCATATTTTCATTATATGGGAGAAAAAAAAATCTCATGGTGCAGAACAGCATGGGAAATGTAGAATCCTTGTGGGTTAACCTGGTGGTGGTCTGGATTCAAAGATTATTCTATGCATAGATCCAATATTTCATGAAATGAAGGCCAAGAATTAATGAGTTCCTTCCTCCTGTGATGTCTATGACAGGATTCCCTCCTGAATGAGCTTTTCTGATCGCTCAGGTCCAAGGTTTTATCTTGCTTCAAAGAAAAGATTTAAGGAAACAGAAAGAAAATTACCCTGTGGAAGGAAAAATCCTTTCCTTAACCAACCTCTCCTGTTAACATCGTGCTTTAAAAACTTCAGAAAACTTAAGAGACCAAGTTCAACACCTGCACAGGATAAAGAATAAATGTCTGCAGCTGTTCCTCAGTTGACACATTTTATTCTCACAAAGAATAAAGTCATGAGGATGGGATCTTTAATGTTTCTGTCCTATGATTTATGGCTTTGATTTGCCAAACACATCTTCGGGGAATGGGAGAAAAACAGGATGGTATTTGACAGGCAGTTGCTAGAGTGTTTATATATGCTTATAGACTGCTAGGTAAGCAGCTGCACAGCTTGATAAGGAAAGTGTACGTACAACCACTGACAGTAGAGACATTAGGCCAGTATCAGTCATGCACAGGTATTACTAACTATAAGTAATGTTGGTTACTGTAGCAACATAAAGCTTTGCACACTCTCTCAATCTCTCTTTCTCTCACCCCCTTCCCCACCACATGCATACGGATGCTGTACTTCCTTTAATTATATCAGCAGTCTTCGTGGAATGAAAAGGAAAAATGTAGATGGTGTGCCTTACCTGTGGAGGGAATCAAGCCACAGGGCTTTCTGGTGGGATGAGTGAAGAGCAGTTCACAGCTTAAGTGACATAAAGGTGCTTTAGTACTGACAATTGTACAAAACGGGAGAATTTCAGCCTGTCTAGGCACATACATCTGATACGTTTAAACACCTACAATTGTAATATTAAAGCTCTGTGGGTCTGTATGAAGTAGAGAAGGCAGCTAGAGACTGACTGTGGAAAGCACTTCATTTGTTTTTACAGCTTTTGAGAATGAGTCAGTAGTGCTAAACTAAGATAAGCAAATACCTTTTCCTTCAACTGGAATTCACTTTAACTTTGGCAATGTGACAATGTTATTTCAAAGTGTTTAACAAGTCAGTAAATTTGTTGGGAGGGGAAATGGCACACATAAAGAATGCTTTTTATGAAATCTGACGTTTTAAGGATACTGCAATCCTCCATGCAAACAAGGCTGGTGCAGCAGGATTAAGAGGCATTAAAACACTTTTTACTCAGCTGCAGATCTCCACCATTCTAAATCTCATACTAAAGGAACACTACATACATATCTCTTGTCAGGCCTGTGACTGCATAATAAAGATTGATGGATTGATTGATATATACATATCTAAAAAAAATCTGCCATTCTTCTTGTCTTTTTAGAAGACAAAACATGATCCCCATGTTTTAGAGTTCCAATTTTGAATTGTGTTTTGTTACAAACAAAAACTTGAATATCTCCATGGTTTTTTAAAAAAAATATGTGTTGTTCTTTAAACAAAAAGAGGCCCCTCCCAAGCCCCTTGTTCTTTTCTTACCATTTCCTTACTTCACATATTATTTTTCTTTCCCAAGAAATCCTTTTTGTTTGTTAAGTGATCCAGCATGGAAGATACAGTGTTTCATTTTCTGCTACCCAATAATTAGATAGATATGCAAATATTTTGCAGCTTCTTTTGAAGCTTATTTTCTGTTCTATTGTATAAAGTAATTGACTGAGACTTTGAGAAGATGGAGCTTTAACTGGAAGTAATCAACAGTTTTTCTCTTCTGTAAGCTGCTAAATGAGCCACGTTTATGAGACCTGTTCCTGACAATGCTGACTTTCTCCCCCATAGATTTGGATTTGTCACTTTCTCCCAGTGGAGAAGTTATTAAGCAGATCGGAGAAGCACTGCCTGTATCCTGTACAATCTCTTCTAGTAGGAACGCTACTGTATTCTGGCTGAAAGTAAGTATTGTTAATCCTGATGTGGTTAAGCTGTTTGTGTCCCTGATTTCATCAGGCTTTAAAGAACAAGGAGGAGCATTCTCTTAGGAACTTTAGAAGTCATTATGATTATGTTTTGCTATGGTGGAAGGTGCCTCTGACCAGTAGTTTAGACACTACTGAGTTGGCTGGACCAAGAGTTCATGCACTCGCTGATAAGGAACATATGGGTAAAAAGAGCCTGTATAGATGGTGTACTGTGGGGGTGATGAAGATCATGAGAACAGAAAAAAGACCCTGATAGAAACTCAAAGACAAAGAAAATATGTGCCTTTAATGCACCATTTAGCAGCTATCATGTACCAAAATGCAGCCTTCAGATTTGATGAACGAAGCAATGATTTTCTTGTTTGGGTATCCCTACCTGAGTAAAATATACAAACTGAGAACTTTGTCCTGGGAGCAGCCTGGGTGAGCAGCAGCAGCAGCATTTTGTAAAACCTTGGAGGTGGTACTTATACAGAGCTGTGTGGTGGTGTTGATAATCCTTGCATCCCTGCAGGAAACATTTACAAGTTCGTAGCTGTCACTCTTGTGGGGATGGGATGCTGAGTAAGTCATGATAAACAGCCTTGCAAATACATTGTCCAACCAGGGAAATGGCAGGGGGAGCAGCAAAGTGGAAAATAAGGGTGGTGCAGAATGGGAGCATTTGGTTTTCTGAAAGTCATTTCTACTCTCCTAAAGCACCTGTTTAATTGAAAGACTTCAGAAAAGGCCTGACATGCAGCCGAGTGGTTGAAGCAGTACAGAAAGAGAATTGCAGGACTTTAAAAAAAAAAAAAAAAGTGTCTGCTTCCGTTTGATCTGGGTTGATACTCTGCTTTGATTATGGTGCTGTGTATTTGTTAGAGTAGATAATATAATATAAATGATTAAAAGTAACCGCTATATCCAGGAACAATTTGGCTAAACACAGGGGAGGGGAAAACATGCCGCTTTCCCTGAATCACCATGCACTGCTGAAAGAAACCAATCCAGCTGACTTTGCTGTTCCAAGCACAAGTGCTGCAGCTCAGGCTGAATGCAATTAATCCCACAATGATCAGTTTTATGCAGTTTTATAATTGCATAGAGAAGTGAATAATTATTTAAAGCACTTCTCATAACAGTATGAGGGCTACCAGTGTGCATGCTTCAAATGTATGTTGTAGTAATAAATATGCAAAGTTTGGATCTTGAAATCTAGTCAATAACTACTCCTCAGAGCATCCTGTGCTGTCTTCTGATAGCCACAAAAATATGAATCAATTACCCACTGGAAAATGTGAGACATTTCTGATGTCTAGCAGCTCGGGTAAAGTAAATCAGTAAATTCAAAGATAATTAAATTAGTATTGATATTTTTCACATTATTACTAACAACAATTGAATTCTGACCAACATATTGATTTCTTGAGTGCTGCTACTCATTTGATAATGAATTGTCTAGACATTATACATTTGATTGACATAAACCTGTGTATAAATTAACAGCTGAACTGTAGTTCTTAGATTTAGCCAATTTTCCCAATTAAATGTGGGAACGCTAACAGAGTGTCTCTAGGGGCCCGAGGAAAGCATGCTAGAGATGTTAAATGTGTCAGGTTCCCCTGTCAAAGCTATAGATCCTCTTGCAACCTCAGGAGGATGAATTCAAGTTGGATTTACCCCTTCCTTCCCACAGCTGCCATAGAAAGTGCTATGGTGGATGCAAAAGCAACCTCATTGCTAGGATGCAAAAGCAACCTCAGAGAACCTCAGTGAAATAACAAACAGGATGTTCTGGTATGGGATTGATGGAGTTGGGATCAACAGAATTGGCCCAGTATAGGATTGATAGAGTTCTCTGATTTCAGAGCCCTTTCTTGCTCTCTAATTTTCCTAAATCTCTAATACATGATCGGCTGCAGTGGTGCGTACAGTGAAGTGGGTTTCAGCAACAGAGCAAATCCATCTGTGCAGTCACACTCCTTTCTCTAAAATGAACCTCCTTGCTTTGGAGACAGCAAACAAAAAACAGTACTAAATGCTATGGCCTGTGAGCAGTGAGGCCTCTTGCAGTGTGCAGCAGCAAATGGCATGGATACTAAAGATATTTTTAATTGCACTTTTAATATACCATAGCCATACCCTTTAAAAAAATGTTGCAAGAAGTGTTACAAAACTAACAGGAAGAGAGGCACTGAGTTGAGGGAAGAAAGAAAGCAGAGGAAGCTGGACTACTGTGGTGGTGGATGGAGGGTTATCAGGTGCATCCCTGATCTGTCATTAACCAATATCCAATTTATAGGAACCAGACATAGGGTTTTCTCTGTGGTAACATCATGATTGTTAGACTCCCTCCACAAGGAGATTTTCAAAGACTCTCCCTTCTTTTTTTCTTGAGATCTGTTCTAAAGATCTTCCTGTTGGAAGGCTTTTAAAAATTCCTTGGGAGGAGGGAAGGGATGTTCTTGTTTTATTGAATTACTAATTTGTAAATTTCTGATTTTCTTAGGGAGCAATGCTATTTGAACTGCCCATAATGCCTTAAATGTGGAGGTGTATACTCATCCTGTGCAGGATGAGAGCAGTGGAGCAGGTGATCTTCACTTCCCTGCCCTTCCACCCTGCTACATGGGCTCCTTTTTCTAACTGCTTGAAGTATCTTGGAGTAGAAAGGAAGGAGGCTGGAAATGTGTCAAGACACCATATATTCTGATCTCTCCAGTCTTCTTCCCTTCTCCACCCCTTGAGATGTCTATCTCTGAGGTTGCTTTCCCAACCTCAGAAAATGGATGACAAGGTTCTTTCTCCACAGGCAGGGAGGAAGTTTGGGGTTGAAGCTCCAGCTCCTAGCATTTAGGTCAGAGCACTGTTTCCAACTACAGAGTTGAGGACTCTAAATATCCTTTGGTCTCCTCAGATGCTGTCTAGAGGCCATAGGATTTTTCCTTGCTTGCATTTTTATTAATTGTATTGCTTCTAAACTGTATACTGTTCTAGCTGTATTTTGAGTCACTTTGTGAAGGCCTTTTGCCTTGAAAAGTAGAGCATAAATAGAAGGAAAAAATTGGCAGATCACTGTGATAGGGAATTAAAATATTTTTTCTATGATATTCTTAAGAGGCCTGCATGGCACTGCTTTCACTTTTACACTCCATTTTACCTTGTTTGTCGTTTCCTTAGACTCTCTTGTGTTTGCAGAGGCACCACTGCAAGCAACCCACAGCCATTCTCGCCCTTTGTTTCCATGCACACTTCACCTCCAGAGGAGCTGAATTTCACAAACTGATTTGAACGATGCCACACCTTTTAAAGATGAACATGTCCTCAATTTGCATTGTTTAACTTGCTGTTTTTATCAGGACAATACCAGAATGCGGACAAGCCCATCTTTTTCAAGTTTACAGTACCAAGATGCAGGAAATTACATCTGTGAAACTACTTTACAGGAGGTTGAGGGGTTAAAGAAAAGTCAAATACTTACACTAATAGTACAAGGTAATATGTGATTGACTGTTAACATCTTATAATGTTGTTGTCTATAACTTTCATGTTGGTTTTTAACTTTAGAATCCCCTTCCACTTAAACCTGGCACTGCATAAATTTAGAAGGCTGAAAAAGATGCATGTTTATCATAACATAACTTTACATTGCATAAATAGAAACATTTGACTAGGCTTTTGGGGTGGGGATGAGGGAATATGTTATGTAATATTCAAGCTGTTCTATCTTTTGAACTGCATGTTTAAGGGCATAATCCTATGTGTATTTAGACAGGGGGGAAATCCCATAGCTTGCAACATTCCCCAGCCAACAGTACTGAGAGCGGAAGCACCTTTTCTGTCTAAAGATCCCTAGGACTGTGCCCTAAATGACCTATTTTACATTTTGTGCTTTTTAAACATGTTATAATGTCATTTCATTGCTCTTTAGCTTGAATCTTTTAAGAAATCAGTAATACAGATTTATCCTTTTTGATTTTAAGGAAAACCTCAGATCAAAATGTCGAAGAGAACTGGCCCAGATGGATCACATAAAATCATAGCTTGTCATGTGGAGGGGTTTCCCAAGCCAGTGGTACAGTGGACGATGAGTGGAGGGGCCATAAATAAAGCAAGTAATTTTCTCATTGCCTTTCATTTCAGTTCAGTAAATTCAGCAATAGAAAAGCACGTACAGAATAGATGAAACCAGGGAGCCAGATTAGACATTCATTGCCTCTAATCTATTATACAAGTTAGTTAACTGAAGTCAAAAAGTTAGAAAACGCAATACTGTGCAGTAGTCTCTTAAGTATATGTGCTCTGAAATAGAATCCAAAGAGGTCAATGAGCATAACACTTACATCGCCTCTTCAGTAAGGTGAAGTCACTTTAACAATAAGTGCTCTAGTTTAGTTAAACTCAACTTAACCTTCACTTATATATGTCAGTCACAAATGGAAAACAACCAAGAATAGAATCAGGCATACTTTCCTCTCAGAAATCCCATTTATATACACTATTTCCCAATAGCCGGAAGGAAATACAGAAAGGATAAAGTATGAAACTCCTAGGATAACTCCTAAAAATGTTTCCAGATGTTTGTGTAGCATGCTGCTATACATGAACATGTAATATATATAGTTAATATAGATGTTTAACCAAAATACTAATCTCATTTTTAAAGTTTGTACATAGGGAGAGAGAATTTATTTGTTATCCCAATGCATTTTCAAAATTATTCCTTTTTAATTTCTTTCCAGACAGAGGAGACTAGATTTGCCAATGGAAAATTCATTAGTAAAATTGAAATTGCTCCTGAAGAGAATGTTACAGTAACATGCATTGCTGAAAATCATCTGGAGAGAGCTGTGATTTCTATGAATGTATCTGCTAGTAAGCACATCAATTTCATTTTATGTTTAAAGTGCATTTGAAAAAACAAGAAAACTGGAAGAGATGGCACCTTTCTTTTTCACGTACAGTGTTCATCACTGCTCTTGCTCTCTCATGTGTAGCTCAGTGCTGGAATGTTGTTTACAAGTTGCTTCATTGTTTTCACATAGGCAAGGATAAGGCAGAAATGTACCCTTAGCGACTCATTTTCAGGACTGTGTTGCCATGGTAAATGTTGACACTTTTTCAGAAGATGCTCAGAAATGCAAATGACTTTGGGCATACTAACACACTTCTGAATGTTATTTCCATGCCACAGAAACCCAAAGTAAATCAGATCTTTTGTAATTATGTCGGTTTGCATGCTGCATTCTCTTGCATCACTTTTATTTTTGAAAACTTTGTAATATGTTAGATCTCTGCAATGCCAAGTGAGCAATTCTAATACTAGGCACAAGGGATATCCAAAGCTGGATAAAACCTTTATCCAAAGCTTTGCCAGACTTCTGTCAGCAGGATGGAAAGGGGAGAAGAATGGTGTTGTTTTTTCCCTTCCTGTCTCTCCCCCCACCTGCCCCTTTCTGCTTTTTCTTCGCTGCTGTGATTGCAGTTCCATTGGTTGTTATTGAAGGGACTGTTTTACATTTTCCTCAGTTCAGCTCTGGCAGTGGGGGTGGCATTTCAAAGGAATAAGAAGACTTGTGGATTCAAGTATCTCCCTGATTCACCATGCCAGGCCCACATGACTGTCTCTTTCTGCCTCTGCCAATTTTGAAGCTTCAGCATTAGAGCTGCAAGGGCCGCAGAAGTTTCCATAGCACCTGGAAGGACCAAAGGGACTATAGCCCAAATAAAGGTTTCCATTCAATTCCATGACTCAGTCACTTTTACATGGAGGGTATGGTCAACTGCTCTTTAGATCTATAGTGAGTTACCTAGCATTTTCCTGGTCTCTGGTTTGCAGAAATTCAGAGTGGCAGTTTGCCATTCAGAAATAAATCCCATTGGGACTTACTGCCAAGGTAGCATATGTAGGATTGCAGCCTTAGGGCAGAATCCTGTAGTGTCCCAACATCATCTGGGAGGCCATACGATTCTGTAGAGTCCTACCTCTGAGAACCTGTGGCCTCACACCTGGGACTCCAGAGACTGAGCCAGGGGAGTGCAGAAAGACCCATGCCAGCTGCTCCCCAGCAAGGTTGCAACTGGAGTTCAAGGCAGGGAGTGGAAGAGGCGCATCTAATTCACTGAACTAAGTGGGTTGAGTCCGGATCACACCTCTACTTGTATATTGCCATGATTTTCGCCAGTTCCCATTGCTTCTTCCATCTTTTTTCTCACCAAAGAAAAGTTATTAAGAAAGAAAAGGCTGAATAGATACGAAATGCATTCCACTTCTTAGCTCTAAGAGCACTTCATCTGAATGCAGCTCCTAGGCCCAGTCCTAGCCTTAAGAGACCATTGCCCATACATGCAAGTGATTTTTAATTGGCTTTCTCTGAAATGTGGAACACAGGCTTTTAGGAACCATTAATATGCAACGTAGTCCCACCACAATGATAAAAGTGGGCACCTTTTCAGTGGCAAATGCACAATAAGCTGCCGCCACGGTGGAAGGAAAAACCTAGCTGTGGTGAATACTCATGGTGTAGTTTGTTCCCTCAATAAAGAAAGGGAGCAATAGCTTTATTTGTATTCTGGGTTCCCAACAGAGTGTGGTCATGAAAAGAGATTTATATTGCTTGCACATTATGAGATATCAAAAAAATATCTAATGGGTGTCTCTAACAACCATGTTCCACTAGGAAATCACAATAGCAATGAATGCTGTTTGATGAATTGCCTTGTTCCCATATAAAATTCTTGTACTCTGAATGCTTTGAATATGTGATATTAATCCAATTGAATCTGTTTTATGGGAGATGAACATGGACAAAACATAAGAACTCACTGCCCAATAACTGCACAATATACAATATGCAGACCAATCCTCATCTATGCAAGGGACAACATAATTCTATTAGGGAACTTCTAAAACTGGAGTACCCCTATACATCTCCAGATCCAGGAACTGTAACATTTTCTAGCCTATCAGATTTTTGGTAGGCATGTAGAGACAATCCCCGTGAATTGTGTAGTGCCCTTATCAGTCTGTTTATTGACTTTAGCACATACATTGATCAAGGGATGTTTGCCTGAAGTCACCCAAGGGTGCTAAAGTTTAATCAACTCTCTGTCCGCAGTAATAAAGTGATGAGAACTCAGCATGCAGTGCTGTGTAACACATAAATACTTCTTCTGACTAAGCATTTATAAGATTAAACTTGTCACTTGTGGAATAAAGCTCTTTCATATGATACATTATAGATATAAAGTAAGGATTGCTGCCTAAAAAAATAAGATTAATCATTTTGTTGTGTGGCTGATGTTGAATTAAGTATGAACACTTCTGGCTCAGCTGAAAAATAGATCATTTTATTGTTAAATATCATAGCAGACTGGAAGTTATGAAGGTGACTTTCATATATCAACAGCTTTTAAAAACAAACATTTCTTTTCAGTAAGTTTCCGAGAACCCGATGAACCAGAAGAAAAAAATGGTAAGTTCAAAAAAGAAGATACTTATTTAGCATTATTAGATCAAAATGTTTTATTTATTTTTCCAACTTGTGTCATTTTGGGAATATACTGTAGGTAGAAACATAAAGAAATGGTAATAGTTCTTACAGTAGGTTATATCCTATTTAATTAAATAAAGCATAAAAATACAAAAATACAGTTTGATCTCCGTCTATAAATGCATAGGATTGTGCCTTAAGTTGCCCTTAGACTAGAGTTGGGTAAGTTATGCTATTCTGTAAGTACAACTAGATCTAGCTAAAACAGGTAAGCAAAGAAAGTTGCATCTATGAAAGAATATCACTTCTTCCATAAATTTATAACATTACTGGTCTTGAACTAAGAAATAGTGCTGTAAAATTATGGATAGGTTCACACAATCACAGGGAGTAAAATAAATCATCATGGTTTATTTCCCCTTCTTGTCCATGCTGGCCATGGGCCACCAAAAAGCATAATTATCCTTGCCAGAAAAGTTGTCAAGAATCCAGGGAGGAGCGGTTGTTGGACTGGTTTGCAAAGGTTTGCCGGTTTGCAAAGGTTCAGGGTGTTCTGTAAACCTCTCTACCTACTCACCCTCACCAGGTCCAGATGTTACAACAACCCATGTCCAGAATGGTAATATGCTAATTAGACAGCTCACAATTGGCACATGGAGGAATGGAAAATAAGCCACCATGGCTTATATTCCCTCCATGTTTCTGTACATCTGCTCACTAAGGAAAAGGCTGTGATTCTCAAGCCATTCAGCCCCAAAGAACAATATAAGCCCATCCATCTACTCAGGAACATAGGTAACTTCAGAGTCAAGTTACATGTGACTTTAAAGATATAATATGCAGCTACATGTTTTCTTCTTTTCGTACAAAAAGCACAGGAACCTAAAACAGAGTGAGACCCTAGTGTGGGGGTTAGTGCATTTGGTGGGAGCCTTGCTTTGGACCCAGCCTGGAAGGGGCCATAACTCTGTGGTAGAACACATGCTTCTTATGCAGAAGTCCCAGGTTCATTCAATCCATAGCATCATCAGATAGGGCCTAGAAAGGATCCTGACTTAAGCCTAGAAAGCCATTGCCAATAAGTGTCAACAATATGTAGATGGAGCAGTGGGATGACTCTGTATGGACAAGCATCCTGTATCTCTTTCAAGGAATATGTGCCTGCAATGTGTAATTCCAAAAACCAATCCACATTCATAGCTTGTACCATGGAAGAAACAATGGTGAGGATTTGTCATGTTGGGAAGAGAATTAGAAATACATGCTTTGATGCACCTATATTGTGATTCTTCTGATAGCCTGAGTGTTCAGTAAAGAATATCTATCAAAGCCAATACAAAAAGAATGTTGGCAAGTTTGGAGTGATATTTAATTCTAGGTAGAATTCTTTTCTTTTAAAGCAGAGGAGGTAGATGCTTGTATAGGTCACAGACTGCAGAGACCTACTTAGTAATTTGTGGCATGGTAAACTCTCAGAAGTGGTCTCTTTGTCATCCTTCTAATGTAAATGAGACTACAGATTAGATATGGAACAAATAGCTTTAGGCCCACAAGTTAAAACTAAGCCAGCACCTTTAAATGTGCATGCTATCATGATGTTGTTCTTTAATTTCTGATTTAGAAATACTTTAGGACATGTATAAGCTTTAGCCAGTTTTTCATGCTTTGTTTGATCAAGCCACTGCATCACCTTTTTCTTCTTTTGTTTTAGGTGATAGTAGGGAAAATGCTAATGACCAGACAAAACTAATAGTAGGAATTGTGGTTGGTCTTCTTCTGGCAGTTCTGGTAGCAGGCGTTGCTTATGGGCTATACATGAAGAAATCAAAGTAAGACTTCATTGATTACATTCTTAACCTACTATAGTTACGAAAGATAATCTCTCACCACATTTTCTTTTATAGCATTCTGTAAGTACAGTTAGGAGCATGAATATGCTTCAAGTACAAATCCATGAGTATTTATTTATTTAAAATCTTTTTGTATCTTCATCAAAATAGATTCCATGACAGTTTAAATTACAAATACAGACATAAAAGATGAGCCAGCAAATAAAGGAGCAGTCAAAAATAATTAAAAGTGAGTAAAAAGGACTTCAGTTGCAACCCTATACATGCTTACAAGGTAAATTCCATTGAACTCAGTGGGATTTGCTTCTGAGTAGACGTGTATGGCTGTACTGTGAAAGCCTGAACAAATAGAAACATGTTTGCTTTTTGTCTAAGTGTAAACAGGAATAGCATTAGGAAAACATTTTATGATGAAGGCTTTCCATAATCACAATGCCACTGCTGGACAAGTGCTTTCTCCAGTTGCCACTCATGTTGCTTCTTAGAAAGTAGTCACATGGATAAGAGCATCACTGGGAGATAACCCAAGATCACAGGCAGGAACTAGTCTCTTCTCCGAGTATCTAGGTCCCAAGCCATTTCAAGCCAATGTACAGATCACATTTTCATATAAAATGGAAAGGTGCACTTGGGAATAATGGTTTGGAGCTTAAACCACCTGCTTGTCCCTAGTAAACCTAGTTCGATGCAGCATGAAGTCTGTGATGGAGAATCCTCTGTATAAATCAAGAAGTTAGAGAATAAAGCCAGTTCCATAGATCCTATAAGCCCAAGTTTTCATCTTTATTCCCATTTTTATCTTTGTTTCTATTTCTTGATCATGCTGGAGTAGGAGACAACTCTGGAAACTAACCTATGAATAAATACAAGCAGATACTCTTGCTTCTTTCAAGAACACTTAGCACTACAGGAATGCTATTCTTTGGTCAGCCTGTTTTCATCATTTTAATGGACTGAATGTAGGACAAGTATGCTGGTTATGAAATATTGATAAAAGAAAATAAAGAGGCATTTATTAATTTCATCATTTCCACTCTTACAGTTGTCCCTTGATAACTCGAAACCATGAAGATGGATTTAGATATCCATGCTGGTGATGTAATGATCACAGTTCATAATAAACCTGGGCATTTACAGTATTTACAATTTTTAACACACAGTGACATGTGCCACATCTGCTAAGAATAATGAATATCAGTGAGAAGTCTCTACGGCCTGTAATTAATCACAGCATGAATTAACTGTTAACCTGTTGCTAAACCATGCTTAGTTATACCTGAATGCCCATGAGTAGCAACAACACAGCAAGCAAAGCTAGGTACTCTGCTCAAAAAAAGAAATGAGCAGATTGTTGATTTGTTCCCATACTTTCTCCATAGCTATATTACACAACTATCTATATTACAATAGTATTATATTTAGGTAAATATAAGGACATGCAATATAATTTATTATTATTGTAGTTACATTTCTCACACACAGTGGGAGAACATCATGATGAGCTGTCACAGCAATGGCAGTCGGCTATGTTCTATCTGTTTGCTTATGTGTAACCAAGTCCTCCTCTACAGTTTCAGTCTTGATATTATGAAGCGTTCTCACTTACTGCAAATAAGTGAACAGTTGATTTTGAAAACATCCTAGCTAGAGGGGCCTTTTAATGAGGCTCACGTTTGAGTCCTCGTAGAGGTCAGTGGTAAGCGTGAAGCAAAGCTTGTCCTTCCTTTCAGCGTCATCATTAGGAAGAACAGAATTTTTTTGAAACAACTGAGTTGACCTAGCCCATTTGTTGATAGAGCTTTTAGTACTTAAATGCCATGATGATTGGCCTGGATTTGGGTATTCTCTCTCCCCAACCACTACCTGGAAAGTGTAGGTATTTTGGATTTTCCTGAAAGCTACTTGCCACTATGTTGACTCTGGGTTTTGTTGCGGGTGAACTCCATTGGATGTGGATATCCTGGCCTGGGAGGGAGCTGCAGCAGTTCTGCTGCTGTCATGCCTTTGTGCCTGGCTACTTGAGGATGTACAGCTGAGACAAGGATCCTCTTTCCAGCTCATGTTCAACTTTCCCATTGCTCAGTTCAACTTCTTTTATGTACATCTATAATCTTTATTCTGCCTCAGGTCTGAAATTGGCTTACAGCTGGCTATATGATACCAGTGTATCTGCTGAGCATATCATGAAGAGCAGACTGTTGTTGTTAGTGATGCTAATAAGATTGCTAATTACAGGTTGCTAATAAAGTTGCTAGTTCCCAAGAACATTATCTTGGTTGAATGAGCATGAAGCTTCCTTTGTCTTTGTAGGTCTTCTTTCCTCCCACTCAGTTACTTCAAATCTTCCTTCACACGTAGAATATGATTGAAGCTAACTTTTTTCCCAAGTACAAATGTGGGTAGAAACAAAAAACAAAAGGAATAGGATTATGTTTGCTAGCCCTGTGTCTGGTCACTGTGCATTGATGTGAGTCTTTAAAGCAAAGCCTACACATGAACAAGTATGTTCTGTTTATGCAGTCTGTGTACAGGGTCCTTGGACTATTCATTCACACCCACACACACAAATCAAAGAGGTAGGAAAAATGTTAGGAATGAGCCAAGCGTAAGAATGATACATCTCTATGGCAATTAGCTAGTTTAATTTCAGTTCTAAAATGTTCTTTCTGAAAATAAAAACAAATTGGTACCGTTGTCATTCTGGCCTATTATTTCTGCACTGCAATTCATCCTGCTTCTTTCTGCCCATTTTACCATTATAGGATAATAAACCTAATTGCTAGCCCCTCAAAGGGAGTTGGAAAAGACTGGTGAGAAACAGATACATCTTTTAAAGGGCATATTCCTATGCATTCCTGCCATACTAATTTGGCTAGAGTTTCTCCTCTAAGGGAAGAATACCCTTGCAAGTACTGCCCTATAATTTAATTATAGTATCCTATAATTAAAGTACCTTTTAACTTAAAACATACATGACTGTATGACACCTGTTCCAAGGTCAGCTTTTCAAGCTATAGTAGTCTGAAGGATAATGCACCAGTGAAAAGGTGTATACTATGATTAGATGATTGCCAGGAGTGATAATTCAGCTGATTAGGTTTTATTCAGAACTGACAGGTATAGTAATTATTTATAATTTTAAACAAACAATTTTACTTAGTACCCAGTATAATCTGTTAAATCGTGTTAGTCTTATCTGCATCTTGAAAATAACCCAACTGGCCCCCTGCTTAAAAGAGTTTTACCCACTGACAGCATTCTTTAGTATTTTTAGACACCATTGTAGTTAGCTACTGATTTTAATGTGCTAGAGCACTGGAAGCCATCTCAGCAGCACTAACACAGGAAACTGCTACTGTTTAAAGCAGTATTCCTTGATCTTTTGCAGTAAGGCACTGAGCAATCTTTCCATACCTAAGGGGCCCAGATGAAACAAGACAGCAGGTTGCCAAGCTGAGAGTTTTTAGACATTTAAGAAGAGAAATTGGGAAAAGAGGAAAGAATGGAGAATGGCTACCTGGGTAAGGAATACCTGGGTAACTTTAGTGCATAAGCAAGGTACCAGCACACCCAGACTAAAGAATCCCTGGCTGGTGGCTTATGAGAGCTCGGAATAGGTTCCAAAGCAAATTCAAAGCACTGGATTATAGGAATATTCCCTATGCTAGAAGGTCCAGAAGAGACTGAGACAGTTAAAGCCAAAACTAGAAGTTGCACAGAGGTTACCAACCAACATCTCTGTCATAACATTTAGTCAAAATACAATGTGCAACATGGTATCTTCATGTTAATAGTTTTTTTTTTCATCCTCCACAAACAGTAGCTAATGAAGTACAGAGCAGGTCTCAGAAATGAATGAGCTTTCAACATAAATGTGCCTCTCAGTATAAATCATTGTTGCAGTTTGAAGTGTGAAAAGTGATGGCATATTTAACAACATGAGGATTTCACAAAAACCATGGCACAGAAAATGGCAGCGCTGTCCATTTTTAAATCCTTCCTGACACGTTGCCCAGTCACACATGTGGGTTATCCCTATAGGCCACCCCTCTCAAGCAGTTTTTGATCAGTTGAAAAATTGTTCACCTAATGTCTGTCCCCAAAGGGATGTCAACGGAGAGTCTGAGAAGGAAGCGGCACAGAACATTCAAACCCTCCCGAGGCAAGAAAGTTATTTCTTTATGTGTGTTGTGGTTAGTAGAATCTCTATTGTCTTGTCATTTCCTCTAGCAAGAACTTGATGTAAGGGCCTAATAAGACATTAAGATTTTATAGTTTTTTGGTTGAAATGTTACTTCAAGGTTTAACTGAAAACAGGCATTAATCAATGTAGCCCCTTTAAATGTCCCTTAATGAGGAACTCATAATAGGCTACGTGGACTCTGAAACCAAAACTATTAAGACTGTTAAAAGTATTCTATTAAATGATTCTGTTTGAAGTTGAGAGTGAAGGCCTGTCCCTTCCATGTCTGTGTGCCCTTGAGTGTGTGTTGTGTAAAAGGTTACTAAATCTCACATCTGCACTATGAATAAGGTATGACCCGTAGGATATGAGGAAACTCCCTGTGCAGCCAGTAGCTAGGCGGCTTCTAGACAATCATCCTTGCCTTTGGTCAACTTCATTCACAGAACATTAATTTTAGTGCCGTCATTTTTAGAATACCATAAAAACAATCATTTTGAAGGGAAAAGTCTGACTTGTTTTTTACTTGTTGCCATTTGCTTTGGGAATGCATAATTTGAACTCACTGTTTTCGCTGTAAGCACATGGAACCAGGTTTATAATAGAGCAGGAAGACATTCAAGTAATTTCTGGAATGCACAAAAGGAAAGTCCTGCAGCTTGGATGAAAATGAGAACTACAGTAATTTTTATGATGAAATGCCCAGAAAATCCTTGAAGCCAGCATCCTTAATCATTTTGAGTTAATTGCTAATTTCTCATTAAAAGAAATTTGTCATTATACAATTAACCAAAAAGGTCTCTCTTGTTGTGTCCAACTTAGAAAAATTAAACATTTTGGCATATATATTTCCTATATTTGTTTATCCACTATAATGTTCATCTGTTTTCCAGTGTATTTTAATATATTTATTTATTAATTACAGTTTTATAGAGTTCTAATTTCATAGAACTTAAAAAATAGCATAAACAAGGGCTACCCAACTAATTATTACCAAGGCCCTAATTAGACTCAGATATATTTGGTTGGAGCATAGTTGCCATATTGTGTGCCGTCATGACATGGCTTAGCTTAGTTAATTTTTCTTCTTTTGCTATGATGGTTCAATGAACTTATATCTAATGTTTAGGCATTTATTCCATACTGATCAGCACATACCTGAAAAAGAGGTTAGTCCCATTGAAAGCAGTGGCCCATGCTTTCAGGTACAAGTACTTACCATTAGGAACTGAGAAGGACTGAGAGGATTATCGTCTCATTTCATCTATTTGGAGAAACAAAATTGAAGCTATGAAGTGCCGAACAAAGAAGTTTCAGAGATATTATAACTATCCCAGAGAGCTGGTACTATTAATTATGCCCCATACCTAAATTATAGAGATAACTGTTAGGACTGGAATGAAAGAGCTGAAATTAAAATTTTGGGACTTTAAGGGGGAGGTAAATTTGACTCCCTTAACAGATGGGTCAAGGAATTTTCACACTGGGAGGAAGTGTGTAATGCAGCAGGGAAACTTTTGTATTCCCCTGAAATTTCCCCTGCTGGATACTTAGTGTGGCTACATCAAGTATCCTGGCATCTGCGGCCAAAGTGAGTAGAGATGGCAGCGGACAACCCAGAAGCAATCACCTGTTGTTACCTGCCTCTCAACCCAAAGACAAATTGAAAATGTTCAGGGTTGGAAACTGAACAGAGTCTGTCTCCACAGAGACTTTGCTAATATATTTGCCACCCCTGAAAGGGGCTAAAATGGCCTTTTCACCACAGAAGTTGTGAAGTGGGGAGAATAATGTGGCCAACCACTCTTTTTACAGATATATTTTCCTATTATAAAACCAGTCAATGGCAAGAAACATTTTCTGCAAATTATTCTTGCAACAATATAGAAAGAAAGCAAGAATAATAGGCATACTGAGTGTATAAGCTTTTGGTTATGTGCACATTAATATGGCCAAATTACATAGTCAGAGATGGATTACTTTTTATCTTAGGCACTTTATCTTGGAAAGTAGTGATTGCTGCAAAGGTCAGACAAGCTGCAATATACAAAAGAAAATTTAAATGGAACCTTCCCCAGTGCTATGATCTCATGAAGGGCTAACTTCTCAGACCTCATCATGAATTCTATTAATATCATCATGTTTTTGCTTATCTCTAATTATCACTTGTTTGTTTCACAAATCCCCTTAGTGGAGATCTTTCAGTATTAGTAATAAACAGATAAAAAATAAAGTAAAAAGCCAAAGTCATAAGGTGAAAATGTACTGCCACTATGTTCCAATAAGTGCCCACGATGCTGCCCTTTACTCCCTTTCTAGCCCCTTTCAATCAAATGTCCTCTCTGCAATATTTCTTTGGCATCATCACCTTGAATATGAATGAAGGGAGGGAGCAAGTCAAAATGAACTGTCTGATGGCAAACAAAAGATCTCTGCAGTTGGCCATTGCTTTCAGTTACAGAGCTCCCTCTATCCTACCATGAACTAAGGAATACTGATGAGTTGGTAACAGGTTATGCAACTCTGTTAGTTTGGGGAATGTGTCCTAGAGCCATTCCTCTCTACACATACATGAGTTAGACTAGCATGGTTGTAAGGAACGTATTTATCTATTCATTCCATTTCTATATCACTCAGCTGAAGCTCTCTGGGGAGTTCATAACAGTTAAAACAATAAAACTCAAAAAATACAATATAAAAGTTTAAAACACAGTGTTAAATAATGAGAGAAACAAATTAGAATCTAGCAACAATGCAAAGACTAAAAATGCAGTACCATACTTAAAACAAAGACTGAAAGAGTAAAATGCCTGAAGACATTTTTAAAAATTCACTTTTTGCCAAAAACAGCATAATGTTGGTGTCTGGCAAGCCTTTCTGGGAAGCTTATTACACAACTGGATGCCCCAACAACAAAGTGCATCTTAGTAGCCACCTCATTTTCTTTGGTAGGAGTTCCTGAAGAAGGACCATTTCCAGGTCCAGGAAGCTATATATGGAAAAAGACAATTGTTTAGTTAGCCTGGACCATTTAGGGCTTTGAATATTAATACTAGCACTTTGAATCAGGCCTAAAACTGGACTGGCAGCCCCTGCAAATGGAAAAGTATAACATTCTGGGATCACATTGGCCAGTCCCTATTAACAATCCTTACTGCCCTGTTTTAATGCAGTCCATTACTGCATCCAAGCAGTGGCAAAGAAAATGTATGTACTGCTCCACTTGGCTTTAAGGGAAATGAGGAATAGAATAAGGTGTTACCCACATTTTGGTGATACTTTTGTCATTACCTTTGAATAACCAACCTCAGCTGTTTTGTATAGACATTGAATGATAAAAGGAATTTTTGAAAAGCCTTGCAGCATCCCATAACTGCAAAGTGACAGAGCATTATTTCCTTTGCACCACCTTCTGGAATTGGCCATGTAAGTAGGAATGGAACTGTTCTTTCCACTCCCAGGCCAGATAGCCTATGCAAAAGGGTACCGTAATTGATAGTACTGAAAGCCATTGAGAGGTCCAAGAGAATTAGTAGGGCCATGCGTCCCTTGTTTTTCTCCCAGCAAAGGTCATCTCACAGGGATCTGATTCTTTTATTTCCAGAAAACAGCCATACAGTCTCAGTTATTTAGCTGCCACATTTTGTACAAACTGCAAATTCTTAACAGTCTTCCAGTGCAGTCCCACATAGAGTGCATTGCAGTAATCTAACTTTGAGTTACCAGAAGATAGTTACTGAAACCAGGCTCTCTCTCCAGGCAAGGCACAGCTGGACCACCAGCTAAAGCTAGTAGAAGGCACTCCATGCCACTGAGACCACCTGAGTCTCAAGTGACAAAGATGACTCCAGGAGAATCCCCAAGCTACCAACCTGCTTCTTCAAGGGGAATGAAACCCCATTCAGAACAGGTTGAACATCCTACTTTCATTCAGTGGAACAGCATTTCAGTCTTCTTCTGTTCACCCTCATCTAGTCCAGTGTTGCAGTCAAGTACTGATTTAGCACATCCACAGCCTAACCTGATAGATACAAAAAGGAGATAGAAAGGTGCATGTCACCAGCATACTAATGGCAATGAACTCCAGAACTTCAGTGGGTTCATGTAAATGTTAAGTACTTAAGAAATCCAATGGTGGAGAATCCATGGGGCAATCAATATTACTGAAGCACCACCTTCTGAAGCCATCCATCCAAATGGGAACAGAACTACTACAATGTAGTAGTCTACCCTTGTAACTTAGACAGTCAAATCAGAAGGATCCCATGGTTGGTATCAAAAGCTCTCCAGAGATCCAGGTATATAAACAGAGTTATACTTCCCCATCGTGTTCCTGATTTATTTATTTATTTATTTAGGATAGTTATATGCCGTCCTTTGCAAAAGCCTCAGGACGACTTACAAATATATATCATCATACAGGACAAACAAAGCCTTTTCCATGCCAGATCCTGCCCTGAGCCCCAGCTGATTGGATCCAAGCAGATCTGGATCCATTTCAAAGCAATTGCACTTAGGAATTTGGATAAACTTACAAAAAACAGAGACCTCAGTATAGTAAGAAGAACATTAGAGAGAACCTTGTGTGATAGCAAAACATAATGCAGTCCATGAAAGTTAAGCCAGTAATCTGACTGTTAGAGCAGTAGAACAGTGGAACTAATGACCTCAGGAGGTTGTGGGCTCTCCCACAGTAGAGGCATTCAAGCTCCAACTGGACAGCCATCTGAAAGGAAAGGTTTAAATTGAGCAGGGGGTTGGGCCCAGTGGCCTTCTGGCCTCTTCCAGCTCTACTATTCTGTGAACCCTGTACCTGCAAAGGAGAATCCACATTGGCTGATCTAATACCCCATTACAAATATTGGATGGGCTTGTAATTTCCCAGCACATGCATCATTCTCAAGTGCTGTGTGAGCAGAAAAAGGGGGTATTCCAAGAAAGAGGCAAAATCACAAAATAACATGTGGTATAACATGAAAGAGAGCACAGCAAAAGAAAGAATTCTTTCTCCCTCTAAAAAGCACGATATGCTGAAATGTGTTGGGCATATGGCATCTTCCAGCAGATGCTTTTCAACTGATCCTTATTTTGAGGCTTGGCTCTTTTTGCCTTTACTCCATAGAATAGCATGGTTGTGCCATGTGTAACAGAATAATAAGTTGAGAAAAGATTGGCAGAGCCATCATCAGTTGAGAAAGTCAGTCAGAAATGGGACAGAGGCAGGTTATGAGCAGTCAGAGAGTGTTACTTGTTAGAATTATGTAGTGAGAGCAAACAGGGCAAAGTTAGAATTAGTTAATGAGAAGATGGATTTGGGATCAGGGAAAATAATAAAAGCCAGTGTGGTGTAGTGGATATGAATGCAGGATTGGGACGTAGGCAATCTGGGTTCTAGCCACCATTCAGCTATGGGGCAATTGAGGAGAGGAGAGGAGAGGAAAGGAATGGAGAGGAGGGGAGGAGAGAGGAGAGGAGAGATACAAGTCTAATAGATAAAAAATAAAAAAGCTGGTACTAAGGATAGACCATAGAAAGGAGTAAGTGGCATTAGGTTATTAGACTATTATTTATTCCTTTTTATCAAAACTTAATCCGAAAATTACATTCAGTGTTGTAACTACATGTGTTCTGTTCTGACTAGTTTCTAAGGTTGGTATCTCTCACCCCACGTGCTGACCTTGATAGACAAAATTAAATCTATAGAAAGGCAAGTCTGACTGTCCTCAGTAAGCTATAAGTGGGGACAATGGATTCATTTTGACTGTGTTTGGAAAATCTGAGTTCAGTGCACCAGCTTAGAACTTGAGCCTTCTTCTGACCACATCACAGACCCTGTCTTTCTCACAAGCAATTACATTTCCAAATTTGAACAAACAAACAAACAAAAACATGCCAGGCTTTTCTGATACCTAACATCTTGGAAGATATTTTGTTTCCCATTTGTTATGGTCATTATATGTGCTATGCCCAATATCTAGGTATAGAAAAGCTGTAGTGGCTAACGTACACCCTAATTTTAGGTGAGAGCTTTGATATATGGCTAAGGATGCTGCAGAACGTGCGACAGCAGGACTCCAGTGTCTCTGTAGTTGCCTTAAATTAATCCCTGGCCCTGTCACTGCCTTAGTTGTCCCTATTTTTGTTTCTTGCATCCCTTGAAGACAATGTTGCATCTTCTTTTCTGTGCTGATTTATTCTATGTAATAAGAGCATAGAGAAAATTCAAAGGGCAATAATTGCCCTTACTCCACTATCACAGTTTCATTTGACTGTGCTGAAAACAAAAGCACAAATTGCCTATAAGTAGAAACATGCTGGTGAAAGAAGATGCCGTCTAACTTTGCGCCACGCAGGAGTAGAATCAGCACAAATATGAAGATACAAAGTCATCCTTTTCTGGTAATAAAGTGATAACAATAAAAGAAATGCTACCTCCATGCTTAATCTTGGAACTGTTGAAATGCCTTTCTGCTTTTTTTTTTTTTTAACCACGATGTCAAAAATTTACAGCAGCTTTCCATTTTCAGACAGTAAGCTTTGGAAATTTTTGTAACAGGCCTATGTCTGCCGTTTTGCTTCACTGCCTTGCTGAACAATGCATGTGAAGAGTCAAAGTCACTCCAGCTCTCAGGCTATACTAAGCATAGGCATAAACTTGTCACCGCTCTTTTTTCTGCAAAAGACCTGTGCATGTGTTAAGCTTCCTGTGGCACAAGGGATTTCATTTGTATCACTTATATGGATTTGCGCATTTACATTTTAAAGCTGAAGTCTTTAAAATGTTATCACACTAATGCAGGAGTCTTTCACCTTGGCAGACTGTGAAAGCTTCTCCCCCATGTAATAAAAACTTTAGTATGGTATTACGTTAAGCTACTCAGTGCCTTCACTCAATTAATACATCTATCTTTATGGAGAAATGAGCCTTGTGGTTCAAATGAGTCATACCTCATTTTCTCTTCACTCTTGAGAATTCAGACCTTTCTAGACATAGGTGCTTGAGAGTGTCAGGTGCACTGAATCAGACACCTGCAAGCCAGAGGGGGATTGTGCTGATCCCTGCTCTGACTACCAGCAGGAAGAACATAGACAAGCTGTGAACATTAGTTCCAAGTGTCAGCACAAGGATGAAATACAGATGCTTTGGAAGCACATGATTTATCCTTCAGGAAAGCAAACACCACCAGAGCAAATGAGGAGAAAGGAGCTAAAGGTTGCTTAAAAATCCCTGAACTGCCTGGGGGTGACACTGGCAAGCGAGCCCTAACTGCACAATCCTGTCTATGGATACTTAGAAGTAAGTCTCACTGACTTCAGTGGAGCATTCTACCTGATGGGTATATTTTATGAAGGGAAGCTACATGCAGTAGAAAGTTTTTGGAGGAAGGGAGATGTGCCCTTTGTCTCAGAGACCAGTACCAGCAGGTACATGAAGCCACATGAACATGCTTGTGTGTAAAATTAGCTTTTCTGGAAACTGTGCTTCATAATGAGTAGAAATATCTCTTTTTCATGAGCAAGCAGAACCTAGCAAGCCTAGAAAAGCAGGCATGTTTTTTTTTTTTTTTAATGGTGCTTTCTAATGTCTCATAATCAACATCTCCAGCTGTATGGTTTAGACTTCATGTAGGCTATTTTACCTTAAGAAAGGAGTGGTTGCCATATTGACAAAAATATCCTTGGAGCTGTTTGGTGTTAGTGATGCCACCATCTCTAAGGAAACATGAAGGGCATGTTGTTTCTTTGAACGTCAGGGAAGAAGGACAAATCCTTATACCCAGTGTAACTCCATTATGTGCAGATTTATAAAAGAGGGCAAGATAAATGTCAAACTCAGTTGTTACTAAGACTGCACAATGTTATTACAGGACTCAGTACATTGAGGTCTCTGTCTTGCAAATGTGAATGTAGTTGAACTGTAAGAACACAGAGGAAATAAGCTGTGCATTAATCCAAAGTGTGTTGCTCCCATTTTAGGTCAGCCTCAAAACATGTAGATAAAGATCTTGGGAATACAGAAGAAAATAAGAAATTAGAAGAAAACAATCACAAATCAGAAGCTTGAGAGTGAGAACTATGCAGTCACGATTCCAGGTAGCTGTGAACAGCTTTATAATTATTCTCTCTGTCCTTAATAAAATCAAAATGCTTTTTACCTTTGATGGATTTTATGAGTTTATATTATGTATTTACAGCAAGAAGAGCCAAAGAATGCCATCTGCAGGTCTTTCAATCACTTCTAACTTTCTGTGGCTGAACTAAGAACAATGCTTTAAGGATGCCTGTTATAGTTGAAGAACAGCCAACAGTGATTACCATACCATCAGGCAAACACTGTCTCTGTCTTAGACATCCTGGGACTGATTTGGTTACAGCTCTTCCAGTACATGAACATGCTCTAAAGTAACTATGACTTACTAAGTGAAGTCTAAACTTTGACTGAGCCAGAAATTTATTTATTTATACTTATATGCTGCCTATAACTGCAGAATGGCCTCCCTAGGTGGCTCACACAATAAAACAACATAAAACAGTTAAAAGAAATCATAAAACATAAAACTAGTACAATATAATAAAACCAATAAAGATCCATCAGCACTCACAGGCTTAGATATTAAAGAATTTCTTTAAAGGGTATGTCTTCTCTTGTCACCAAAAATAAAACAAAACCGGTGCTAAGCAAATTTCCCTAGGGAAGGAGTTCCAGAGATTGGGGGTGGGGGCAACAGTAGAAAAGGCCCTTCACCTATTTTCCACCCCTCTTATTTCCCTGGGGAATGGCTCTCATAGAAGGGCATCCTGAGCTGATATTAAGGGGCAGATAGGTATATACAGGTGTAAAAGGTCCTTCAGATAACTGGGCTCCAGGCCATTTAGATCTGAATTTACATCCAAAACAGGTAACTTTGCCCACTTCCAGTGACTCCAGGTCATCCCTGCCTTAATAGACGAGCTGCGCAGTTTTATCTTTGAGTTATTCCTCCAATGAGAAAGGCTAAACATTTACCCAATATGACATGTAGGGAGTCAGACAAGTAAGCTAGACTAGAGCATCCTTTGGGTTCACTCTGACGATTTTATGCCACTTTCCTTTCAGAAGCCACTTTTCAAAGAAACAATGTAAAAATGGGTTCTAATATGACATGAGTGACCTGAGAATGCAGATGCTTTAAAGATCAATCCAGGAAGGGGTCCAGTGCATCTTAAACAAGGATGAGCGATGAGTCACTGCAACCACAATTTAAGGTGGACAGGACCAGGAACACAGGAAAAGCAGAAGGCAGCCAGAATTTAGGAAAGCCTTCATGCTAGACACATTCAGAACAGCAAGCAATGAGATTCAGGACTTGCACAGTGACTTTAAGATAACTCTAGAGTCTGTGCTTTAATTTTAGCGGGGTGGTAAGAAAAGATAGTTCGTCTTTTCCATGTCTAATGCCCCCCCCCCCCCTTGTGCTCTTGTTGGCTAAAATTAAATTCTGAGCAAAGTCGGGTGTTTAACTCATCACCACCACAACTTTTCCTGTAAAACAAGCAGTCATGGAAGGTGAGACACTGTCCGAAACAGGTGCTAGGATTCTGGGTAAAAAATAAGTCTGAGAGGCGACTCAGTTGACACAAACATCAATACTATTGAACAGGATCCCATTTGTTTCTCTTGGTGCCTTTGTGTACCTGAGAGCAGCCAAGGCCAGGAGCCGACTTCCGGCTATTTCAAAAGGGTATCAAATAGAGCACCTCCATTTAACAGAACCCCAAATCTTCAAAGTTGTAGTGTCCCAGGTTTGCTACCGTGTATTAGGTACAGAAGATTCCTGATTGGGGCGTAGGGGTTTGAACCTTTGAGGATCCCACATTCTGCTTGAGGTGATTGCAGCCGCAAATAGTTTATCATACCCCTTGAAAGAGCAGCATAATGTATCACTTCCAAGATTCAAGACATTTAATGCTTTTTGGAAGAAACCACTCCAAATCACTTTTCATCACTTCCTGAGAAGAAATGTGCAGTGTATTGCTCTCCACTGTGATATTTTCCTACTGACACAGACTTTTCCTGATGGTTCTCTCTTTTTTTTAAAGTGTGTAAGTATGACCTCCCTGAGACACGTGGAACTCAAAATTAAAATCATTAGAATATGCTACAAAAACATATGTTCCAATAACCATTTCCTTTGCTTAGTAACATTCATGTTCTATGGAAAAATAACATTTTCTTGGATCATCTATGCCATCATGCTGATCATCTTGGCTCACCTTTCTCCCCCTCATTTTCAGAGAATAAATATAGACCAACCGAAGCATGAACATGGATTGTATTTAAGATATATATGAAGACGTGACGGCTCTCAAGTTTTCAAAGGAATTTACACTGTTATCTCAAGCTTACAAAAATATCAGCAAAACTAATTTGGGCAGCAGCCGTGATAATAGGTCAACAATTTGTGTTCTGTTTGAATATATTTTTTTTGTAAATGTCTGCACTGAAGATTTCTTTTGGTTTGCCTTTATGTAAATTTTTTACGTAGCTATTTTTATACACTGTAAGGCTTTGTTCTGGGAGTCGCTGGTAATCTGATGTATAGTGTATTGTTTTTATTTCCATTGGTTTTCGCACCCTTTAAAGAGGTACATTTCCAATTCTGATTGCTATCAGTAAAGCTCCTATTTTGCACAGCAAGTATTTAATTTATATGATTGCCTTATGGGAAAATGAGACACTTCTTTCTCTGTTTTTCAAACACTACTGAAGAAAAAGGGGTACGTACACCTGTAGGGAGGGACAGCAAAAGAAAAAGCAAAGTAACCAGTTTGTAAAAAAGAGAGAGAGAGAACCTGATCACATATAAAGGACATGTATATAATTGCCAAAAGAAGAATCAGGTAGCAAGCAAGAGTCATCATGTATACAGATGTCTACTAATAAGTCTTTTTTAAACAGGAAAATCTTTTTATTGATAGCATTCCAGAAAACTAATTGTTCTTGCAGTTCCATGATATATAGTGTGAATGACTGGAATTAAGAATTAGTTCTGAAGTATTTTTGTTATCCACTGCCTTAAAAATTACCTTTCTTTTTAATTTTGAAAAAAAAATCAGTCAAAATCAGAGGCTTATGTTTGGTTTTTTTAAAGTAATCATATCAAAGCTGCATTTTTCCACAAAATAGAATATATATTTTTGTGTGTGTGCATTTTTGTTAACTACACTACAGATATTGCACCTTGAAATAATTTTAGTGTTTTTAACTGGTACATAATTTATCAAGAAGTACATGAAATTGTAACAATAAAATTAAATCTATGTATCTTTAGTTACATTCAAGATTGTAACTTTATAAACCTGTTTTATGCTTGATAATTTTTTTAGAAAGTTAGCATAAAAAGAAACATTTGGATAGATCAGGGCAAATAGGCAGCACTATTAAGTAATGTTTCCTCTTAGCAAAAGACTAGCATCTGGAAGAATGTAATAGGTCATTTTGATAACGGCAGGAAGAAGTTACTAGAATAAGCATCAGGTTTCTGTTTACAGATTTACAAGCCAGGGAAACAGGAAGATTCTATAGATTGTGGAAAGGATAAGTGGAAGGAAAATGAGATGAAAATTAGGAATTGTATTTTGCCACTTAGGGGAAAAAACACTGTTGTAAATTTGTAAAATGTTGACTGTCTGGGCAGTAGTGACTGATATCTTAAATAAAAGCTTCCTGTAGTGTATTGGCATGGATTAAATACATGAAATGTCTTATAAATTCAATACTGTATAAAATATTACAGAAGGATCCTGTTAAATCCTCTCAGCATTGGTTAAGGCTTTATTCGGCAAGGGAACAAAATTATTCATGGTCAATGTTTTAAACCAAAGTTAAAAGGGGGATAAAACCAAAGTCTTTTGTTTTGCATGGCTAAGCCATTTATGATCTTTGTAAATACTGTGATTTTTTTCTTTCTTTTTCTTTTTTTAGAATTTTGTTTAAAAAAATTCTAAAAATTTTAAAGCACCTGTTTTCCAAAATAAAATGTGAACACACACAAAAAGGTTATATACAATTTGTGTTGGTGTGAAGACATCTCTGCTCATAAAGATAATTGAGTGAAGGGAAGAAAAAAAAGTTTTGCAGTGCAATGTGAATTATATGAGATATAAGCATACAAGGAATATATAACCATTTCTGGTCTGTAAAAAGTGGAAGCCACACAACTGGCCAGAACGTGAAATGAGTGGAGACCATGAAGGAAAGCACTTAATTTCTGTAGCCAATATCATCGTGAGAAAGGAATAAAACACTCGCCTTTTGTTCTATTGACCATCCAACCTAATTCTCGGGGGTGTTTTCTTCATTGTTCAGATTCACATCAGACATGTTTCAGGAATCAATAGTACAAATTAATTGTCACCATTCATGCCTGAAAGACAATAAAAGTGAAGTATGTTTTCACATTCCTGTCTGACATTTCAGTTCAAGGGGAATATTTGTGTATACGTGTGCATGAAACTTCTTAGTCATAATGACTGCATGCATCGCAGTCATATAAAAGTTTTTGCATATACTAACTTAATGGAGTGCCTTCATGGGGCTCACTGATCATTCCGTCAGAGCAGAACAAATTTCCTTCCTGATGTATGGAAATGTACAATACTAAAAGCTAAGATGCTGGAGCCTCTTAGAGACCAACCGGTTTATTATGTCATAAGCTTTCACAGGCAGTAGGCTGTTTCATCAAGTCTGTGAAATGAACTTAGAATTATAGATATGAATGCAGATAGCTTGTAAGGCAAATGTACAAATACATGGAGATCAGTTCACTCTAATGTTTCCTTTTCAGGAATTAGGAATCATCTTCACAACTCAGTCCTTTCCATAACTAACTGGAAGTACATCCAGTAGACATACCCCCATGAATGTGCATAGGATCTCAGCTTTTGAATTCAATTCTTTAGCATCCATCGTTGGACTACTTTAGAAGGTGGCAGGCTCTGTACATGCATTATCCCAAAAAAGTGCTAGATTTCCCATATGAATGGGATCCAATATTATTTTCTAACCATTTCAAAAGAAAACACTTTTACACAATTCTTCAAAAAACCAACTGTACAATACTAAAGCGAGGCCTAGAAGGAAATTAAGCTTTAAGCACATCTTAGTGGAATAGATCCCTTCTATGGGATCCTTTCCCTCTTTCTTCTGAATGCTGCCCTTCTTCTCTGTTACCCACTCCCCACCATACTGCATACAGCAAAGAAATGTCTTCACCACCCTGTTGACTCTCCACTTCCCCAGTGCTAGCAACCTTGGCTTCAAGGGAATAAGCTTGTTCCCTGAGAGCAAGGAGATCATCACTCCAAGCCCACAGCTGGCATACAGCCATACATGTGATGCTCAGTACAATACTAATGTTACCCACCACATCTCTGTTGGCTTTCTACTTTATAACTGTTTTGTTCTTGATGTTGATACAGCTGCAGCTACTGGGGTTGGAGCTTGTGAGCATGCCCTGGCTCTCAGGAAACCGATATATTCCCTTGAATCCAAGGTTACTGACCTGGGAATCTCAAAAGTAGGTTGGTATATGAGACCTTTGGGAACCAAATAGTAGTGTGACACTTTCTCTGCTGTCAGAGAGAGTAGAGGTCTCAAGGAGAGGAAAGCATCATTATGAGGAACAGAGAAAGGATTCTTTAGAAGGGATCCATTCCTAAGGGAAAATGAAATCTCACGTGAAGGATGTGTCTCTGGTGACTTCTGGTAGTGGGAGATTTGATCATTATACATATTTCTGGGCTTGTGGTGGGTGCATAAAATGCATGGTAAACTGCCTGCCTGGTTCATGTGCCGTCAACATTGTACTGTATGTAGGTAATGCTGACCTGGAGGCAGTGGTTGTGGTCAATGTTACTATCAAAGACCTGGGGAAATATAGTTGTAAGTTAATGGACACTAAATTGAGGTTGCTCCATACAAGAGTGAAAACCAGAGAACCAAAATGGCTTTCTTTGGAATTCTACCAACCCAAGCTTGATAGGCAGCCTGAGGAGACTCAGAGCATGGATGAGATGCTGGTATGCAGAGGAGGGATTCAGATTTGTTAGGCATTGGGCAGCATTTGGGACAAGCTGGGCTTCTCTGTGAGCCAGTTGGGACCCAATTGCTGGTGCTTGACATAAAAGGCAGCAAACTTTTAAACTGAACCTTGGGGGAAAGCTGATGGAAAGCTTCCAGTTTGGGTTGGCTTACCCATAGGGAATGAAGGTGAGCATGATTGTCCTAATGCAAAGGGGGAAGATATAGTCCAGAAGCATGTACTGAACATGATAGCAGTCAAAGAGGCATAGCAAACGATGCAAAAGCCAGAAGCACCAGAGTAGGAGGTAGGTATCAGCGTTTACGGGCTATTGCTAAATGCTGTATCAGTGTTTCTGGGCTGTCTCCCAGCCAAAAGGTGAGAGCTGGAATGCCTGGTTTTAAAGGAGAATGAAGACTTAGCAGACAAGACAGACCTTAAGGATTGGTGACAAACAGTGGGATAAAGTCATCTCTGGGTATAAAACTATGGAAAGACAGAGAAGACTACACTGTGGGAGGAATTCCTTTGAATTTCAAATAGGACATAAGTGTTAAGCAGAAAATCCAAAAGAGGCAGAGTCTTTCAAAGAACTGCCGTGGGTGAAAATCACAGGCTCCAAAAGCAGTCTAGCACTAGAAACGATTGTCCTCTGGAGCAGAATGCTCAGGGTGATCTTCAGATGAAAAATGAAATCAGGGAGACATTCAAATGAGGATGTTTTGTAACAATAGGTGACTTCAGTTACCTCCACATTGCTGTGATAAATGTATGCTCCAGTGATGGCAGAAAGGTTACATTGCTTGATGTCCTAAACAACTGTGCTTGAGAACAGGTGCTCATGGAACCAACTACAGAGGAGGCAATCTTGGATTTAACCCTAAATGGTGTCACCAAGGACTTAGCATGAGATGCTGCTGAGCTAATTACAAATAATCACCACAGTGCAATCAGATTAAAGGAAGTACAACAGAGTCACATTTTACTTGGACAAAGGCAACTTCGCTACAGTGAGGGAACTAGCAAAAAAGAAGTTGAAAAGGTGATAAAATCCCTTCAAAATGATGCTCAACTCTGCACTGATAGAAACTCAGTTATAAAGTATCCCATGGGAGTTTACAGAGAAGTTGAATGGATTTGTTTCATCTGTCTTCATTGCAGAAGACTGAACAAATATTTTGGTCTGAACTGCTGATTTCAGGAAGAGAACCTGAGGAATGGAGGCAAATTCTTATGACAAAGGATGGATGTCAAGCTCTTCCTGGGCTTAAGTACACCACTGCAAGTTTGTGCAAGGCTCATCTTCTTGGATTTTTCTCCTTTTTTGGGTCCTTGTCTTGGCTTCAGCTGAAACTCATCTTTGAGTTTAGCTGATTAGCTGGAATAATTAAAATATTAATAAGTAGACTAGTACATTTTGAGTAACAGAAAAACAAAATTAATCCAGAACTTCCCCTGGATGTAAAAATGATGAAACTGAAGCTGTTGTACATCTCACACATCATGAGAAGGCAAGACTCACTAGAAAAGAACAATAGGAAAAGTTGAAGACAGAGGAAGTAGCAAAAGGCCAAATCTAAGATGGCTCGATTCCATAAAGGAAGACATGAGTTTACAAAAGCTGACTGGAGCTGCCAAGAACAGGACTTTTTGGAGGGCATTCATTGACAGGGTTTCCCTAAGGCAGGAATGACTTGCCAACAGGAAGCAAGTGCTAGACAAGATAGACCTTTGATCTGATCCAGCATGGCTTTTTTATGTTCTTATATGTCATAAAGCCACCATGCCACTGGGGCTTATTTAAATTGTACTGCATGCCACACTTAATTTCCATAATTACCAAGTTGGGGCTTGTCATAGGCAGTGACATGAATTGGCAGGGGAAAACTATCCTCCAAAGACCCATGAGCTACTGTCGGGTTATCAGAAGGTTGTTTCCACCTACTTCAAGCCATGCTGCTCAGGTTCAGATCACACAAGCCAGATACGGGTTTAGGAAAATTGCACCTTGCAGAGACTATGATTTAAATAAGCCACCATGGCTTATGTTGATAATGCAAACCAAGAGATAAATAAAATACTATTTAGTTACAATTGAGCAATGTGTACTTCATTAAGAAAGCTAAAAATCTTTAACTGGGACTTTAATATGCTCAATCCCTCTTCCTCAGTACAAAGCATTTTAGCATCCCAAGTACACCACACTGGATTTCATACTGTTGGAATGACCCAGGAACACAATATGTCTGTTCAAAATATAGTAACAAACCAAACCAGCCAAGGCACTAACCCAAATACCATTATTTCTCTCACTTCCACTTTCTTCTTGCTGCTCAGAGATGTGTGTTCCATGCCTTATTCACTGACTCTCACACAAAGGTTAACAGTAAAACTAAGGAAGTTTATTTCTAACAGAAAGGAAGGATTTGATGCATCCAGAGGCCTGCCTTTAATGTTACAATTTTTCAGCTCCAGGCTGAGGTAGCTTTCTTTACAGTATTCTCTTCCAACCTCTACTGCAAGTTCTGATTTTCTCACTAGATGCTTCCATCCCAAGACCAGAGTAGCCATTATGCTGCCTCTCACAGCTCCCCACCCTGGCCCACACTGGCTCTGAACTTCCAGGAACAGAGAAGCAAAACTCCAGCTCTCCTCTCACACACCAAATTATAGCAGTACCTCCATTAAGACAGTGAGAGAACAATCTCTCTTAAAACCTCAGCTGCTCCAAATTAGCATGAAGCTATCAGTCAATAATTTGATCCTAAATGAATTAGCAAATCAGTTCCAATCGAGCATCAAATCAATCTATGAATCTTTAGATTAAAAATAAATCCTCTGTGTGCTTAAAATGAGTGTACAGTCTCCCTCCTCCCAACATCCTAGTATTAATAGGGACAATATTTTAGAGTTCAAATCCTGCCCCCTCCAAAGACTCTGGAGATGTGTGTTTTTTCATTTTGAAATTACAGATTAATCTTTTCTGTAAACAAATCCTCAAAAGTGGCACGATAGCTAGCTTGCTAAACAAAGTGGTATGTACTGATTCTATTTACAGCAAATCTCAGCAGGTTTAGAGGATTTGAGGCTTCATCTTTCTAAATTAACACACATTCTGATTAGAAAAGCCACATTATGGCAAGATGCTTCTCATAGTACAAGGGAGCATTCTAAAAATGAAAGTAGGGGTTGGGGGAAGAGCATAGAGTCTCCTCACTTTGTCATCT